TCCTTGCAACATTTCACTCACAGAGTTCCCCTTAGGATTTCTTGTAGGGTTGGTTTAGTGGTGCTGAATTCCTTCTGTTTTTGTTTGTTTGGGAAAACCTTTATCTCTCCTTCTATTCTGAATGACAGACTTGCTGGTTAAAGGATTCTCGGCTGCATATTTTTTTCTGTTCATCACATTGAAGATTTCCTGCCATTGTTTTCTGGCCTGCCAAGTTTCAGTAGATAGGTCTGCTACTAACCGTATGTGTGTACCTTTGTATGTTAGGGCCTGTTTATCCCTAAGCTGCCTTGAGAGTTCTCTCTTTATCCTTGTATTTTGCCAGTTTCACTATGATATGTAGTACAGAAGATCGATTCAAGTTACGTCTGAAGAAAGTTCTCTGTGCCTCTCGGATTTCAATGCCTGTTTCCTTCCCCAGATCAGGAAAGTTCTCAGCTATGATTTGTTCAAGTACACCTTCAGCCCCTTTCTCTCTCTCTTCTTTGGAATTCCTATGATACGGATATTGTTCTGTATCACTTTGATTGGATCACTTTGATTGGATCACTTTCTCTAAGTCTCCCTTCATACGCCTGGATTTTTTTTATATCTCTTTTTCTCAGCTTCCTCTTTTTCCATAATTTTATCTTCTAATTCACCTATTCTCTCCTCTCCCTCTTCATTCTGTGCTATGGCCGCCTCCATTTTATTTTGCACCTCATTTATAGCATTGCTTAGCATTTATAGCATTATAGCATTTAGTATTGCATCTCATGACTATTTTTAATTCCCTAGATTTCTGTAGCAATAGATTCTCTGCTGTCCTCTATGCTTTTTTTAAGTGCAGCTATTAATTTTATGACTATTATTCTAAATTCTTCTTCCATTATATTTCTTAAATCAGTTTTGATTAATTCGTTAGTTACCTCCTGGAGTTTCTTTTGAGGAGAATTCTTCCGTTTCATCATTTTGGCTAGTCCCTGTGGTAGCTCTAAACTGCAGGACACCTCCCCTGTGCTGTCCGGAGAAACTTGTGTTGGTGGGTGGGGCCACAGTCAGACTGGTGTGTATCTTCTCTTCCCCTCTCCCAGGGGCAGGACTCACTGTGGAGTGGTGTGGCCCCTGTTTGGGCTGCTTGCACACTGCCAGGCTTGTGGTGCTGCTTCGATGGGATCTGGACAGGGTGTATTAGATGGGGTGGATCCACAAGGTGCACAGGGGTGGGAGGGGCAGTCTTAGCTAGCTTTGCCATCAGTGGTCCCTGCGGGAGAGGCCCTGCAGCACAAGGAGGGGGGCAGGCCCATCGGAGGAATGAATCCTTAGAAGCACAGTGTTGGGTGTTTGCGCAGTGCAAGCAAGTTCGGTGTTGGGAACTGGTTCCCTTTGGAATTTCAGCTGGCGTATGGGAGAGGGAAATGGTACTTGCCAGTGCCTTTGTTCCCCTGCTGAGCTCTCTCCTTCTGGGACTCAACAACTCTCCCTCCTAGTATTCTCTCCAAGAGCAGAGCTGTTGACTTTTAACATTCCAGGTGTTAAGTCCCACTGGCTGTCAGAACTCAGGCAGTCCAGCCCCTCTGCCTTTGCAAGCCAGATTTCAGGGGCTTGCCTTGCCCTGTGGGCTGCCCCTCCACCACCCCAGCTCCCTCCCGCCAGTCTGTATAGCACGCACCGCCTCTCCGCCATTCCTACCCTCTTCCGTGGGTCTCTTGTCTACGCTTGGCTCCAGAGAGTCCGTTTTGCTACTCTTCCGGCAGTTTTTGGAGTTATTTAGGCCAGTGTGGGTGGAATCTAAGTGATCAGGATGCAGTGAGCCCAGCGACCTCCTACACTGCCATCTTTCTCTCTTGTGTCTAGATTGTTTTTCCAGCTGTTCCTTTAAGATAATTCTTGTTTCATCTATCATGTCTGATCCATCATCATAGAGAAATGGTTTTTGAGCACAATTGCCAGTCATCCAACCTGAAATTTCATGGTCTAGCTAGAGATGATGGACATGTATCATGTCTTGAACTGAACTGCATTACACTGAAATCCATTTTATTAAAACAGCGTAAATTAATGTAGAGCACGCTATTCTACAAGTCAGAAGATCAGAGTTCTGTTTCCATCTCTGCCACTTAATAGGCACATAAACTTTGCTAGTCATGTAAATCTCCCTAAGCCTCAGTTATATTGTCTGTTAAAAGAGTATTAATACCGGGGCACCTGGGTGGCTCAGTCGGTTGAGCGTCTGACTTCGGCTCAGGTCATGACCTCACAGTTTGTGAGTTCAAGCCCCACATCAGGCTCTGTGCTAACCGCTTGCTCAGAGCCTGGAGCCTGCTTCAGATTCTCTGTCCCCTTCTCTCTCTGCCCCTCCCCTGCTCACGCTTTGTCTCACTCTGTTTCTCAAAAATAAATCAATGTAAAAAAATTAAAAAAAAATCTTTTTAAAAAAAAGAGTATTAATACCAATTAACAACAATAAAACATATCTAGTCTGCCTCACAACGTTAATGTGATGGTCAAAGTCAACAAATGGTCATTACTGTCATGGCTAAATTAAAAATTACTAACATTTCAAGTTTTTTTGGAAATAACATATATCCCACTTCCCTGTGGCCAGTATTTAGGTATGTGTGGTATTTGTAAAACTAAAAAGAAAATGTTGGTATGTAAAAAGGGTTCTTCAAAGAGGCGAGCCTTACAGTCATCAGGCTGGCTTAGATTTGTTCTTTTAAGCTTAATTCTTAGTCCTCCAGGTGCTTCACAGTGGTCCACCATTCACAGAAGTGCTGGATTTTGAGTTTTACTTTCATGCTTGAAAGGTTTGTTCTTAAGAATGTAAAAAAAAATCTCCTCTATTTTGTTATAATGTTCTTGGTTCACAGGTGGTAATTATACAGGTAAGTTTTCTAAGACTGCCTGGAGAAGTGCCTTTTGTTTTTGAAGTATAACATTCAGTGTTATATGAGTTTCAGGTAAACAATATAATGATTCATCAAATCTGTACATTACTCAGTGCTCACCACAATAGGTGTAGTCACCATTTGTTACTAAACAGCATTACTACAATCTTACTATATTCCCTATATTGTACTTTTCATTTATGTGACTTACTTATTTTCTAAACAGAGGTTTGTACCTCTTAATCCTTTTATCAATTTCACCCATCTTCCCACCCCACCTCTGGCAACCACCAGTTTGTTCTCTGTATTTAAGAGTATGGTTTTTTTTGTTTTTTTGTTTCTCTGTTGGTTTTGTTTCTTAAATTCCACATACGAGTGAAATCATATGGTATTTGTCTTTCTCTGACTTATTTCACTTAGCATAATATACTCTACGGCCATCCATGTTGTCCCAAATGGCAAGATCTCATGCTTTTTATGGATGAATAATATTTCATTGTATGTATATACCACCTATTTATCCATTCATCTGTGGATGGACATTTGGGTTGCTTCCATATCAAGATTGTAAATGATGCTGCAATAAACATAGGGGTGCATAGGTCTTTTCAAATTAGTGTTTTCATTTTCTTCAGATAAATATTCATAAGTGGTATTATTGGGTCATATGCTAATTCTATTGTTAATTTTTTGAGGAGCCTCCATACTGTTTTCCATAGTGGTTGCACCAATTTATGTTTCTACCAACAGTATACAAGGGTTCCTATTCCTCCACATTCTTGCCAACACTTGTTATTTCTTGTCTTTCTGTTACTAGCCATTCTGATAGGCATAAGATGATATTGCATTGTAGTTTTGATTTGTATTTCCCTGATCATTAGTGATGTTGAGAATCTTTTCGTGTGTCTGTTGGCCATATGTATGTTTCCTTTAGAAGAATGTCTATTCAGGTTCTCTGCCCTTTTTTTAATTGGATTTTTTTTCATGTCGTATAAGTTCCTTATATAGTTTGGATGTTAACTCCTTATTGCATATATCATTTACAAATATCTTCTCCCATTCACTGGATTGCCTTTCAGTTTTGTTGCTGGTTTCCTTTGCTGTGCAAAAGCTTTTTATTTTGGTGTAGTTCCAACAGTTTATTTTTGCTCTTGTTTCCCTTACCTTAGGAGATAAATCTAGAAATATGTTTCTATGGCTGATGTCAAAGAAATTATTGCCTGTATTTTCTTTATTTTTTTTAAGTTTTTTAAGTTTATTTATTTATTTTTGAGAGAGAGAGAGAGAGAGAACAAGCAGGGGATGGGCAGAGAGAGGGGGAGAGAGAATCCCAAGCAGGCTCCATGCTGTCAGCACTGAGCCCCATGTGGGGCTCAAACTCATGAACTGTTAGATCATGATCTGAGCCAAAACTAAGAGTTGGACACTTAACCAACTGAGCCACCCAGACACCCCTGCCTATGTTTTCTTTTAGAAGTTTTATGGTTTAAGGTCTCACATTTAGGTCTCTAATCCATTTTGAGTTCATTTTTATCTATGGTATAAGAAAGTGGTCTAGTTTCATTCTTTTGCATGTAGCTGTCCAATTTTCCAGCATCATTTGTTGAAGAGACTACCTTTTTCCCCATTGTATATTCCTGCATCATTTATCATAGATTGACTCTATAAGTGTGGGTTTATTTCTGGGTTTTCAATTCTGCCCATTGATCTACATGTCCGTTTTTGTGCTAGTACCATACTGTTTTGATTACTACAGCTTTGTAGTATATCATGAAATCTGGGAGTGTGATACCTCCAGTGTTGTTATTTTTTCTTAAGATTGCTTTAGCTATTTGGGGTCTTTTGTGATTCCATACAAATTTTAGAATTATTTGTTGTAGTTCCGTGAAAAATGCTTTTCATATTTTGATAGGGATTGTATTAGATTTGTGGATTGCTTTAGATAGTGTGGATATTTTTAACAATACTAATTCTTCCAATCCATGAGCATGGACTATTTTTCCATTTATTTGTATCTTCTTCAATTTGTGTCACCAATGTTTTATAGTTTTCAGAGTACAAGTATTCACTTTTTGGTTAAGTTTTGCTAGGTATTTTATTTTTGTTGGTGCAATTGTAAATGAGATTGTTTTCTTAATTTCTCTTTCTGCTACTTCATTATTAGGATATGGAAATGCAACAAATTTTTGTATATTAATTTTTTTATTTTGCAACTTTACAAAATTAATTGACCAGTTCTAGTAATTCTTTGATGGTGTCCTTAGGGTTTTTTCTATGTACAGTATCATGTCATCTACAAATAGTGACAATTTTACTTCTTCCTTACCAATATGGATGCATTTTTCTTTCTTTTTCTTGTCTGATTGCTGTGGCTAGGACTTCTAGTATTATGTTGAATAAAAGTGGTGAAAGTGGACATCCTTGTCTTGTGCTGATCTCAGAAGAAGAGCTTTCAGTTTTTCACCATCGAGTTATGATGTTAGCTGTGGGTTTTTTATATAAGGCCTTTATTATGTTGAGGTATGTTATCTATAAACCTATTTTGTTGGGAGATTTTTTATCAGGAATGGTTGTTGAATTTTGTCAAATGCTTTTTCTGCATCTATTGGGATGATCATATAGTGTGAATTCTTTCTCTGATTAATGTGATATATGACATTGATTTCCAAATATTTAACCACCCTTGCACCCCAAGAATAAATTCTACTTGATTATGGTGAATAATTTTTTCAATGTATTGTTGAATTTGGTTTGCTAATATCTTATTGATTTCTGTGTCTATGTTCATCAGAGATATTGGCCTGTGGCAGTAGTAGTAGTTTTTGTTGTTATTATTGTGATTTTTGTCTGGTTTTAATGTCAGGGTAATGCTGGCTTTATAGGCTGTACCTAGAAGCTTTCCTTCCTCATATATTTTGGAAGATTTGGAAAAGAATAGGTATTAACTCTTCTTTCAATATTCGGTAGAATTAACCTACGAATCCATCTGGGCCTGGACTTTTGTTTTTTGATGACTCATTCAATTTCATTGCTAATAATTAGTCTTCATATTTTCTATTCTTCAGTTTTAGAAAGTTATATGCTTCTAGGAATGTATTAATTTCTTCTAGGTTGTCTAATTTCTTGGCGTATAATTTTCCATAATATTCTCTTATAACTCTTATATTTCTGTAGGTCAGTTGTTATTTCTCCTCCTTCATTTCTGATTTTATTTATTGAGTCTTCTCTTTTTTCTTGATTAGTCTAGCTAAATGTTTATCACTTTTGTTTATCTTTTCAAAAACCAGGTCCTGGTTTAATGATCTTTTATTGTTGTTTGCTTTGTTTTGTTTGTCTCTATTTCATTTACTTTTACTCTAATCTTTATTATTTCATTCCTTTCACTAGCTTTTGGCTTTGTTCTTTTTCTAACTCCTTTAGGTGTAAGATTAGGTTGTTTATTTGAGCTTTGTCTTGTTTCTTGAGTAGGCCTCTACCACTATAAACTTCCTTCTTAGAAATGCTTTTGCTGCATTCTGAAGATTTTGGACTGTTTTTTTCATTTTCATGAGTCCCCATGTATTTTTTTTTTTTTTTTTTTTTTTTTTTTTTTTTTTTTTTTTTTTACTGCTTCTTTGATTTCTCAGTTGATCCATTCATTATGGAGTACATGTTATTTAACCTCCATATATTTATGTTCTTTCTAATATTTTCTTGTAATTTATTTCCAGTTTCATACCACTTTGGTCAAAAAAGATGCATGATATGATTTCCATCTTTTTAAATTTATTGAGATTTTTTTTGTGGCATAACATGTGATTTATCCTGGGGAATATTCCATTTGTACTTGAAAAGAATGTGTATTCCATTTTGAGATGGAATATTTTTTATGTATCTGTTAGGTTCATCTGGTCTAATGTGTCATTCAAAGCTACTGTTTCCTTATTGATACTCTATCTGGGTCATGTATCCATTGATGTGAGTTGGCTGTTAAAGTTCCTGAATAATACAGAATTACTGTCAATTTGGAGAAGTATATTTTGATTTTTTTAAACCTGTATATTTATGCAAAGTAACTCTTAATAGCCTTTGGACCATCTTGTTACCTAATTGTATACAGGATTAGGGTGGCATGTGCCTATAGGCTCTTGTAAGAACATTTTGAAAACAAAGAGTGGGGAAACAGCTCGTAATGAGGGAGCAATGGCTCCTGTGGCTTGAGGTAGGGGCCACAACTTGGCTTAGATAAGTGGATCAGGAACAAAGGAAGTATCCTGGAATCTCTTGGTGTGCTATGATATTGCAATTCTTGTGCCTGCACAAGAAATAACAGTAATAATGTGGCCAAAATACAGAAGAAATATAGGCTAAACTGTAGTTTAGCCATAAGTAGGCAACCGTAAATGTGTCTCAGCCAATGGAATTTGAGTTTCCATCTGGGAAGGGCAGTTATGTGTGTGTGTTCCTGACCAGAGAATGAGCTTTTACTGTCTAGGTTTTGGCTGAGTACAAGCCTTCAGGAAGAACTTCCCCTGGGTGGTGGGAAGAGAACAGCAGAATTTAGCCCTACAGGCCAGCCGAGGGATACCAGAGGTCACATCCATACTGTCTTCCTCTTTTGGAGAAGCTAAATTGGAAACAGCTTAAAAGTTAGACAAAAGAGTAACTTAGTAGAGAATAGGAATAATCCTATATATAATTAGATAACAAAATTTTTATTTTGGCTTTTTGCTAGGGATACCTGTCAAGGGACAGAAATCATATTTCAAACTGGGTTGTCATTTTGTTTCCTTCTGTTCTTTTTATTAGGCCCATTCAAAGAAAATGCACATGAACAAATGCATCCTCTCTCTTCGAGATCTTAAAGTGGCTGTTATTGAGGAAATACAGTGCCTGGTGCAAGAACTGAAGAGCATTCAGTCAACTCTTCACATATCCAAGCACATCCCTATTCCTGAAATCCCTCAGATACACCCAGAAGAAGTTCCAGAAAAGAGATTTCACTATGATGAGGAAATTCTCCTAAATTTTAAGCAAAAGAATATGACGATTCAGGATGAAAAGCCCTCTGAACTGGAACAGAGACGGTCTACAGGCGCAGGTGGAGGATTTCTCAAACTCTCTTCTGGAAAGGATGGTGATTTGACAACAAGAGATTCATTGTCTAGATCATCAAGGGCATTAGCACTAATTGTAGATACTCCAAAGTTAATGGAATTTGAAAAAGCAGATCCAATTGATCTAGAGCTGGAGATTATGAAGAGAGACGAGATTAAGCATGTGTACATGCAAGAGTATTTGACCAACAGGGTAAGGGGTGAAACTGTGCCTTTTTAAAGCTGAAAGAGGGCAGAAGGGAAGAACTAAATCTATCATTTGTGTGTGTGTGTGTGTGTGTGTGTGTGTGTGTGTGTGTGTGTGTACACACACTCTCTATAATAATCTTTCTCACTGACCAGCCCACTGAAGGCTTGGCTTCCTCCCCATCTCTGGCCTTCTGGAACCCATTGCCCTCTGCCCAAGAACATTGGAGCTTTTAAACCTTTTGCTTTCTGCAAAGCTAAGAATTAAGAGCAAATCCATGTTAATCAGCATCTAACTCAAGTCTTGGTAAAGGGCAAATGATGGAGCAGCTTTCAGATGATGGATGGAACATAATTTAAAAACTTTCCAGAGAAAATGGGGCTCCCTCTGCTTTTTACATACTTCTCTTTCTCTAATGTGTGATTTGCCTCATTAGTGGGAGTGTTCATGGTGATGACTGGCTTCAAAATTGTTCTGGAGCTGGAATGGCACCTATTTTTTTTTCTAGGAAACCAGATCAGGTTGGGACCAGTTGTATAGGAGGTGCTCTAAATCTGGAAGGAAAAGGACCTTTCCCAGATAGACAGCTCTCTGCTGCCAGCAGTGTAGAATTTTGTTCCTAAATGTCTGTCCAGCTCCACCCTGTGAAGACACCCCCGAAAGTTTCCCAAACGTATTTTTCGCCCAATATCTGTACTTCATCCAGCCTTACTCTTCCTCTCTCTCCCTGCTTCTGTTCCCCACCCCCATTCTCAGTTTTATATTTGGTTTTTCCTTTGTTATCTCTTTCTACTTGCATTGCTTTCCTTTCAAATGTGAGTCATCATTCAAAACTCATCACAGTTCCAAATCTTCTCCAGAACCTTCTGTCCACATTACATACTCATCTTTTTTCTAAGCTCCAAGTGCACCTATAAGTAGCACCTCAGGTTTTGCACTTCCTTTTCTTGCTGTTTTATGTGTATTCTTTGTTTTATTGAAGTATAATGAACACACAATATTATATTAGTTTCAGGGGCACAATATAATGATTCAACAATTCTGTACATCACTCAGTGCTCAAATGTGTTATTTTTGTCTTGCAAATTAGATTTCACGGCTCTTGAGAGAAAGGCCACATATAATCATCTTTTGATTTGCCTACAGTGTCTAGGAAATGCCAGACCTATGGTAGATATTCAATAAAAAGTTTGATTGATTTCATTGTAGCTAATGTATTAATGGTATTAACATATGCATTGGACATTCTTTGCGCAGGAATAGTGGTAGTTAGGTAGTAGGGATGTAACTGTACTCTAGCCAGACATATTCTCTATCCTAATTAAGCTTATAGACTATCAGATAAGTGACAGCAAAACAAGTGTGAACCTCACAAACTTAAACACCTATGTGTTTAAGTGGTACAGTTCCAGAATGGTGTTACACTAAAATAAATACAGTCCTGCCTTGAAATAAATATCAAAATAACTCAAATTTGTTGAATAAACATTAAAGAGGAGCCCACTTAGTCTACAACCATAGATAATTAAAAGGTTTCTTCTTTTTTTTTTTTAAAGTTTATTCATTTATTCTTTCTGAGAGAGAGCACAAGTAGGGAAGGGGCACAGAGAGAGGGAGACACAGAATCTGAAGCAGGGTCCAGGCTCTGAGCTGTCAGCACAGAGCCCGACGCGGGGCTCAAACTCACGAACTGGGAGATCATGACATGAGCCGAAGTCAGACACCCAACTGACTGAGCCACCCAGGTACTCTTTTTTTTTTTAAGCTCTCAAATTCCCTAGCAGTAGTTTCACTGTTCCCAAACTACAGATCTCTTAATTTTTTTCAGCCATGTGCTGGGCCCTCACTCATTACAGGTTTTTGACTGTTGAGGATCCCCATGATTCACAGACTGATGAAAAACATGGAATGGTTTGTCTTCTACCTATGGTACTAGTTTCCTCAGGAGAACCAGACCTTGGGACTCTCTCTTGATGTCTTCCTCTCCTTCGGGATGGGGTGAGGAGGAAACTGCCGAGATCAGCAAAACCAAGCATTTAAAATCATTGGGATGGCCATGGGATAAGGTTTAGACCAGGGCTTGGGGAGTACTTTGTTCTCAGCCCAACTCTATAAAATTAAATCACCTTTAAAATGTTTGAAAATTTTCAGAATAAGAAGTTGAGGGAAATATTTAGTGCTTCCTGTATGAGAGGCACTGTAGAGATACTGTCGGGTAAAGTGGAGGCAGATATAAACACTATGCACAAGGAGCTCATAGTCTCCGATTTAAACCATACAGTACAGCAAGAAGGGCATTCTCAATTAATGGTTTAATCAATGGTAAAGAAACAGCTGGAAGGACTATAGTTACAGAATCCCTACCACTTAAGTTGATTTGTAAGACTTACACATATATGCCAAATGAGCCCATATAATTATTTCTCCATAATAAGGGTATAATGAGAAAATGCTTTTACCTAAACAAAGTGGTATTTTTAGGTAGTTTTAAAAATACAGTTACCTGGTCTTAACTTTTCATATACCCTCAAATCTTTTTCCACCTCAGATCAAAGAACTGATTGTCACCTTTGACGCAGAGCTTCGTCTTCTGAGGCATCAGAAACTGAAACTAGATATTCAGATGAAATTATCTGACCTTCACCATGTCACATTATTTCAAGAAATGCTTCTCCTCAAGAATTTTGAAAAACAGGAGAACATACTTCAAGAGCGTGTTAATTCATTAGACAAAGAAGAACAGGATATGCAAGTATGAATGGACAGGAGAGTGCTGGCTGGCTGTATCCTTTAGTTACACAGGGGATTTGATTCTTCTTTTCCTTCTTCATCTTCTCAGCTTAATTCCCTCCATTGTTCTAATCCTCCACTCTTGTCTTTTCTCCCTCCAAATGTTTGTGAATTGTGACCTTACATTGTAATATACCTTGTTCTCTGAGCCTGGTTTATCAGAAATACTCTATCACTTGTTCCTGTTTTTGTTCATTTAGTGGAAAATAAATGAAACTCTTAAAGAGATGGAAGAGAAAAAGAATGAAATCACCAAGCTCCAGGACCAAGAAAAAGCACTCTATGCTGGTTTCCAAGCAGCTCTTGGAGAAAACAATAAATTTACTAATTTTCTCATGAAAGTCCTGAAGAAGAGGATTAAGCGGGTGAAGAAAAAGGAGGTTGAAGGAGATGCCGGTTTGAATTTCTTTCTAACATATGATCTTATCTTTTTTCTTGTTAGCATGAAATGGAGAAGTAGCTAAGGACATATTTCTCACCTTTTATTCACTAGAACATAGACAGAGGTGCTCTGAGGTTGAAGAAGAGATTATAAACCTGTAGGTCTCTAACCATCTGGAGTTAACTTGTGTGTGTGTATCTGGTCCAAGGTAGCTTTAGGGTAGTTTCATTTAACCAAGCACATCTTCTCATTTCCCAATTGATAGTCATCTTTGATAAAGTATCTCTTCATGTCTTTTGCCCATGTTTGAATAGGATTTTTGCTTTTGTATTCTTGAAGTTTAGGAGTCCTTTGTTATGGTCTGTATACTAGTCCTGTGTCAGATGCTTTGCAGATATTTTTTTCCAGTCTGCAGCTTGTTCTTTTCATTCCCTCAACAGGGTCTTTGACAGAACAAAAGTTTTATTTTTTGTTGAGGTCCAATTTATCAATTTTTCTTTTTTTTTGGATCTTGTTTTGGAGTCAAAGTCTAGGAATTCATGGCCTAGCCCTGGGTCCCAAGGATTCTCTCCTATCTATTTCTAAAATTTTTATAGTTTTACATTAAAGTCTGTGATCCATTTGGGCTTAATTTTTAAATAAGGCGTGAGACTTAGGCCAAGGTCTTTTTTTGCCTACTGTGAATGTCCAATTGCTCTAGCACCATTTGTTGGAAAAGCTTTCTCCCATTGAATTGCTTTTGATCTTTGTCAAAAATCACTTGGGTGTATTTGTGTGGATCTATTTCTGCGTGTTTGGCTCTGTTGATCAATTTGTCTCCTCTTCACCAATACTACAGTCTTAATTACAGAGGCCGTTGAGTTCTGAAGTCAGGTAGACTAATTCCTTCCATTTTATTCATCTTCTTCAATATTATTTTAGCTATTCTATTTCCTGTAACTTCCCATATGTTAGAATATTTTTTTATATCTACAAAAAATCTTGGTGGAATTTTGACAGCAATTGTATTAAACCTTTATATCAGTTTGGAGAGAACCTGCATCCTTACTACATTGAATCATCCAGTGAATGAGCACAGTGTGTATTTAGAGCTTTGATTTCTCTCATCAGCATTGCATCATTTTCAGCATAAAACTCATGTTCATGTTCTGTTAGATTTATACTTAAGTATTTCCTGTTTTAAAAGTGATTTTAAGTGCTATTTAATTTTTTTAACAGTAGAAATATTTTATTAAAATCTCATACACAATCCTAGAAAATGAAATAAGTGGCATACTAATAATACACATTAGTACAATTTTATAATGCTGTTTTATATTTATTTATTTATTTATTTATTTATTTATTTATTTTTAACGTTTATTTATTTTTGAGACAGAGAGAGACAGAGCATGAATGGGGGAGGGTCAGAGACAGAGGGAGACACAGAATCTGAAACAGGCTCCAGGCTCTGAGCAGTCAGCACAGAGCCCGACGTGGGGCTCAAACTCACGGACCGCGAGATCATGACATGAGCCGGTTGGATGCTTAACCGACTGAGCCACCCAGGCGCCCCAATGCTGTTTTATTTTTAATCTTGGTGTCACATGTTCACACTGGCATATAGAAATACAGTTGCTTTGTAGATATTGATCACCTAACTTGTGACATCACTTAGTCTAGGAGTTTTTGATAGATTCCTTGGGATTTTCTATGTAGACAATAATTTCATCTGCAAATATGTTCAGTTTTATTTCTTTCTTTCTGATCTTTATGCCCATTTTCTTTTATTGCCTCATTGCACTGATTAGAACATCCAGTATTATATTGAAATAGAGTGCCAAGAGCTGACATCCTTGCCTTATTCCTAATCTGAGGCGGACAACATTCAATCTTTCACCATTAAGTATGCTACCTGTACATATTTCATAGATACTCTATCAAGTTGAGGAAGTTCCCCTCTGTTCCTAGTTTTCATTATGAATGAGTATTGATTTTTTTCAGATGTTTTTCTGCATTGGTTGATGATTATGTGATTTTTTTTCTTTAGCCTGTGAATATGGTGGGTTATACAGGCTGATTACTGATTATTGAATCAGACTTACACCCTTGAAATATCCTCTCCCTATGTTACATAATTCTTTTTATATGTTGTTGAATTCTATTTGCTAATATTTTATTTAAAAATGTTGTGTCTAGGGGCGCCTGGCTAGCTCAGGCAGTAGAGCATGCAACTCTTGCTCTTGGAGTTGTGATGTAAGCCCCACGTTGCGTGTGGAACTTACTTAAAACACACACACACACACACACACACACACAGCAAAAATACCTAAACCCCCAAAAAACAAAAAGAAATTTTATGTCTATATATTCATGTGGATCATTGGTCTGTAGCTTGCTTTGTTTCTCCTTTTTGTACTGTCTTTGTCTGGTTTTAGTATCAGGATAACATTAGCTTCAAAGTATGAATCAGGAGGTCTTCTCTTTGATTTTCTAGAAGATAATGTGTATGGTGTTAATCATGTAAATGTTTGGCAGTGTTCTCCAGAGAAACTATTTGGACCTATAGATTTCTTTAGGGTAGTTTTAAAATTACAGAGTCAATGTTTTTAATAGTTACAGAACTTTTCAAATGTGGTAATTTGTATTTTTGTATGTATGAAAGTGGTCTGTCTCATCCAAGTTGCCAAATTTATGTGTGTAGGGATGTTCGTTGTATTTCCATTATCTTTTTTAATGTCTGCAAGGTCATTAGTAATGTCTGTAGTAATATCACCTGTTGCATTCTTGATATTGGTAGCTTTTTTTCTTATTTCCCTACTTTTTTAGACTTGCTAGAGGTTTCTCAATTTTATTGATCTGTTGGAGAACAAACCAGCTCTTTGCTGAAGTGATTTTTTTTCTATTTTTCTGCTTTTAATTTTATTGATTTCTGCTCTTATCTTTACTATTACCTTCCTTCTGCTTGCTTGGGATTTATTCTGCACTTCTGTTTTTAGGTTTTAAGGTGAATTATTGATTTAAGACTTTTTCTCTTTTCTAATTTAGTGCTATAATTTCCCTCAACACTGCTTTAGCTGTATTCCACAAATTTTGGTAAGTTTTTTTTTTCATTTTCATTCATGTTAATGCAGTTTTAAAATTTGCATTGATCTTTCCTCTAGGTCCCATGGATTATATAGAAGTATGTTGTTTGGGTCCAAGTGTTTTGAGATTTTCCTGTTTTCTTTCTGTTTGTGATTCCTAGTTTGATTCTATTGTGGTCAGAGAACACATTATGCATGATTTATACTTCTTTTATAGTTGTTGAAATTTGTTTGATGGTCTAACATATGGTCTGTCTTGGTGTGGGTACTTGAAAAGAATGTATATTCTGCTGTTTTGGGTTAAGTCTTCTATTACTGTCAATTAGATCCTATTGGTTAATGATGCTATTAACCAACTTCTGTAGTCTGTAGTCTGATTTTCTGTATAGTTCTAATCAAATGCTGAGAGAGGCGGTGTTGAAGTCTCCAAATATAATCATGGATTTATCTATTTCTCTTTTCATTTCTGTCAGTTTTTGCTTCATATTTTGTAGCGCTGTTATTTTTATGCATACACATTTAGGATTGCTATGTCTTCTTGGTAGATGGACACTTTTATCATTATATAAGGTCTTTCTCTGTCTAGAGTAATTTTTTTTTTGCTCTGAAGTCTACTTTATCTCATGTTAATATAGCCACTCTTGCTTGGCTTTGGTTAATATTTGCATGATATATCTTTTCTTTTACTTTCAATTTGACTATATTATTAGAAGTGAATTTCTAGCAGATAGCATATAGTTAATGTTTTTCACCCACTCTTTGTCTTTTAATTAGTATACTTAAACCATTTACATTTGATGTGTTAGGGCTTAAGTCTGTTGTTTAATTTTTTTTTTTATTCTCTCTGTTTTCTATCTTCTACATTTTCCTGTCCTCCTGTGGGCTACTTGAACATTTTTTAGAATTCCATTTTAATTTTCTCTAGTGTTTTGAGTGTATCTCATTGTGCAACATCTTTAGTGATTGATTTATAAATTGCATTATATATACATAATTTATCCCAGACCACCAGTGTCATCATTTTACCAGTTTAAGTCATGTATAGAATCCTCATCTGCCTTTAAATCCCCCAAACGGAGGAGGGAAGCCTATTATATTTACCTATAGTTTTGCTTATCATATTTATTCTTCCTTGATGTTCCAAGTTCCTTTAAAAAAAAGAATTTTCCTTCTGTTTAGAGAATTTCCTTTATCTGCTCTTTTGGGGTAGGTATACTAGTGGCAATTTTTTTTCCCCCTTAATCTGAAAGTGTCTTGATTTCCTCTATTTCAGAAAGACATTTTCCCTGGGTATAGGATTTTAGGTTTACTTTTTTTTTTCTTTCTGCATTTGAAAAATATTGTGCTACTTCCTTCTGGCCTCCATGATTTCTGATGAGAAATACCCTGATATTCAAATTGTTCATCACTTATAGGTGAAGAATCACTTTTCCCTCACTGCCTTCAAGATTTTTTGTCTTTAGTTTCCAGAAGATTGGCCATGAGGTGCCTTGGAGTAGATTCTTTGGGTTCATACTGATGGGGCTTCACTCCTTTTATCTGTAGGCTTATGTTTTGCCAAATTTGAGAAGTTTCTAGTCATTGTTTCTTCAAGTGCTTTTGAGAACCCCCTCTTTCTTTACTCCTTTACATGAGTCCTTTTGGGACTCATGGCATGACTGTTTGACATTTCATTATAGTCCCATAGGTCCCTGAGGCTCTGAGGCTTGGGATTTGTTTTTTTTTGTTGTTGTTGTTGTTGTTTTTTTTTTTTTTTTTTAGTCTTCTTTCTGTTTTTCAAACTGGCTAATTTCCATTGTTCTCTCTTCAGGTTTACAGATGCTTTCCTGTGTCTCCCTCCATTCTGCTGTTGAGCCCATTCACTAAGTTTCTGTTCTAGTTATTGTATTTTCAGTTCTAAAATTTCCATTTAATTCTTCTTTGTATCATTTATTTCCTGATACTTTTTATTTATTTGAACAGGCTTTGTATTTTTTTATTTGCTTAAAGTGTGTTCATTATTGGTCATTGAAGAATTTTCATTATGGCTGTTTTAAATATTTTGTCAATTAATTCTAACATTTCTGTCGTCTTAATGTTGACATTTATCCATTGTCTTTTCCCATTCAGATGGAGATCTTCCTGGTTCTTGGTATGATTAGTAACTTTCAGTTGAAACCTGGAAACTTTCATATTATGTTAGGAGACTTTGTATCTTACTTAATTCCTCTGTTTTATTTGGCTTTCTCTAACACTGGTCTGACAGAGAAAGGGTATGTGTATATTCCTTATTGCCAGGTGGAGGTACTCGGCCTTCACTGTGACTCAAGGGAAGGAGGATCTCTTTGTTCTGGAGTTCTGATTCTCCATGTAGTCTCTACTGACAACATAGTGGGGATGGCCTTGGTACCTGTGGGCAATGGTGAAAGTCTTGACTCTCCACTAGGGTTGTTGTTGTTGTTGTTGTTGTTGTTGTTGTTCTTCTTCTTCTTCTTCTGCTGCTGCTGCTGCTTCTGCTTCTTCTGCTTCTCCTTCCTCTTCTTATTCTTCCCCTCCTTCTCCTTCCTCTTCTTCCTCCTCCCCCTCCTCTCCTCCTCCTCCTCCTCCTCCTCCATTAGGTTTCTTCTAATATGACCTGTGTGGGAGGAGGAAGTGAGTCTTATTGTTGCCAGGTAAAAGTAGAAATACAGGGTGCCTGTGTGGTCTCCACAGACATCTTGGTGGGGGTTGAAAGCAGGGCTGGTTACCAGCCAGCAGGAACAAATATCCCGGTTCCCTGCTTAGTCTTCTCTGATATCATCCTGGGTGGTGGGAATGTGGGGTACCTGACTGCAGCTTTGCAAGGGTGAATGTCTAGTTCCCCCACTTCACCTTCACCTATGGGGGTGGGAGTAGGACCACATTTTTTTTTCTTGTGGTGTTTATTTAGAGTATTATCTAAAAAATTTGTCTTGTTAGGCTTCCTCTTTCTTGGCTGTTTGGCTAGAGAGAGCAGGCTCTTGTTGGGCCTTTTTATAGCTGTATCTACTGGTGTTTCCAGGCCACTAATTTATTCATTTCTAAGTCTGAAATATAAGAGGAAAAGAAGACCCAAAAAATTCACCACAGTGTTGTTTCTCAGGTCCTGAGGTTCATATTTAGTCTGCCTTCTTTCCATTTTTTAGAATCTTCTGTTTATTTTACATATAATGTCCAAGTTTTAGCTGTATTTTGCAGGAGGAATAGGAAAAAAATAGACCTAATTCATCTTCCTCAAAGTTGAAATCTATGAAAAGAATTTTAGTCTAATTTTAAACTCTGCTGATTTATTTCATAAAATGATACAGACCACCTAAAATAATTTTAAGGAGATAATAAATTTAAGAAATCTTCTAGAGAGTATGAGGTGCATGTCTTATTTCTAATTTGATGTTCCATAAAATAGAAATTGACAATTGGTGATCTATGGCTCATAAATCGCCTCAAAGTGTTTAAAAAGAAAACAGCATAGAGTGGGAATCTACAATCGCTTATCTAAAACTCTTGGGGGCAGATGAGCTTTAGTATTTATTTTTTTATATTTTATAAAAACTTTGTATATGGCACTGTTAAAGAAAAAATGATTTATGGCACTTGTTAAAGAACAATAAAGCAGACTTTATTCAGGGTCACTACCACAAGAGGATTTTATTTTATTTTTAAAATTTATTTTTGAGAGAGAGCATAAGTGGGGGGAGACAGAGAAGGGACAGAGGATTAGAAGTGGGCCCTGTGCTGATAGCAGTGAGACCAACGTGGGCTTGAACCCACAAACCATGAGCTCATGACCTGAGCCAGAGTCGAACGCTCAACCCACTGAGCCACCCAGGTGCCCCCAGTGGGATTTTATAATAGGGGAGAGAGATCAGCACAGCTTTGAATATAACAAGGACAAGTGGAGAGTTATAGCCAAGGAACAGGTTGGGAGTCAGTGGGTGGAAAATTACTAAGAGGTAGGGTAATTCTTTGCAAGACTGACCTAACAGGATTCTTACTGAAGCCTGGCCAGAGTAAAAAGATAGTGAAGATAAGGAATAAGGAGGAATCTGATCAAAAACAAGAGTGTGGGAATTTTACTAAATTGATGCTGCAGGATTCTTGCTAAAACTGGACAAATGGGTCAATAGCCAAACCTATGGTCCACTACTTGTCAGAGAGAGGACTCAGAGGAACCTGACTCAGTTTGGTCAAAGAAGAGAGACTTTGTCAACTAACACCCCCAACAGGGGTTAGTGCAGGATCTCTAAAATCAAACACCTTAATATTTTTGCAGCAAGACAAATATTCACACAAAGTAGGTTAAATAAATATTATAAATAGCATTACTTCTGGGAAGTTGTGAAAATATTCTTTTCAAGGCACTATGATTTAGTAATTGTGGACCTATAAAACCAAGGGTGTGTTAGATGCGTCACAGCATAAGCAGTTTGGCAGCTTGGTCTCAACCCTCTTTGACTCAATGCATTGAAATTAATTGCACAACATTCTGCAGGCATTTGAGCTTATGGTCTGCATCCTCAACCATTTATTTATTTTTTGTTTGTTTTTAATTGGTTATTTTATTTTGTAGAATTTTATTTATTTAAAAATAATTTTTGGGGGCGCCTGGGGGGCTCAGTTGGTTAAGCGTCCGACTTCGGCTCAGGTCATGATCTCACGGTCCGTGAGTTCGAGCCCCACGTCAGGCTCTGTGCTGACCACTCAGAGCCTGGAGCCTATTTCGGATTCTGTGTCTCCCTCTCTCTCTGCCCCTCCCCTGTTCATGCTCTGTCTCTCTCTGTCTCAAAAATAAATAAACATTAAAAAAAATTTTTTTTAAATAAAAATAATTTTTGATTGAAGTATACTTGACAAACAATATTACATTAGTTTCAAGTGTACAACATAGTGACTCTGTTATACTCTGCTCACCACAAGTGTAGCTACCATCTGTCACCAGACAACACTAGTACAGTACCACTGACAATATTCCCAATGCTGTTCCTTTCGTCTCATGACTTATTCATCCATAACTGGAAAGCCTATGCTTTCTACTCCCATTCACCCATCCCTCTGGCAACCATCAGTTTGTTTTCTCTATTTATGGCTCTGCTCCTGCTTTTTTTGTTTCTTAGTTCATTTGTTTTTGTTTTTTAAATTCCATTTATAAGTGAAATCACATGGTATTTCTCTTTCTCTGACTTACTTCACTTAGCATTATGCCTTCTAGATCCATCCATGTTGTTGCAAGTAGCAAGAGCTCACTTCTCTTTTATGGCTGAGTAATATTCCATTGTGTATATATGTGTGTATTGATGGACACTTGGGTTGCTTCCATATCTTGGCTATTGTAAATAATGCTGCAATAAATGTAAGGGTGCATATATCTTTTTGAACTAGTGTTTTCATTTCCTTTGAGTAAATACCCAATAGTGGAATTACTGGATCATATGGTAGCTCTATTTTTAATTTTTTGAGGAGTCTCCATACTGTTTTCCACAGTGGCTGCACCAATTTACATTCCCACCAACAGTGCAAGAGGGTTCCTTTTCCCCTGCATCCTCACCAACACTTGGTATTTCTTGTCTTTTTGATTCTAGCCATTCTGACAAGTGTAAGGTGATACCTCATTGTGGTTTTGATTTTCATTTCCCTGAAATATGAGTGATGTTGAGCATCTTTTCATGTGTGTCTGTTGGCCATCTGTATGTCTTCTTTGGAAAAATACCTATTCAGGTTCTGTGCCCGTTTCTTAATCAAATTATTTGGGGTTTTTTTGGTGTCATAGAAGTTCCTTATATATTTTGGATGTTAACACATTGTTTATATCATTTGCAATATCTTTTCCCATTCACCATGTTATCTTTTTGTTTTGTTGATGGTTTTCTTCACTGTGCAAAAGATTTTTATTTTGGTGTAGTTCCAATAGTTTATTTTTGCTTTTGTTTCCCTTGCTTTAGGAGGAATATCTAGAAAGATGGGTTTTTTTTTTGCCAGTGTCAAAGAAATTACCTCCTATATTTTCTTCTAGTAGTTTTATAGTTTTAGGTCTCACATTTAGGTCTCTAATCCATTTTAAGTTCATTTTTGTGTATGGTATAAGAAAGTGCCTCCCCGCCCCCCCCCCCAAAGAAAGTGGTCTAGTTTCATTCTTTTGCATGTATCTGTCCAGTTTTCCCAGCACCATTTATTGAGCAGACTGTTTTCCCCATTGTCTATTCTTCTCTCCTTTGTCACAGATTGATCATATAAATGTGGGTTATTTCTGGGCTCTGTATTTTGTTCTCTTGATCTAGGTGTCTATTTTTCTGCCAGTGCCATGCTGTTTTGATTATTATAACTTAGTAGCATATCTTGAAACCTGGGATTGTGATACCTCTGGTTTTGTGCTTTTAAGACTTGTTTTGGCTATTCAAGGTCTTTTGTGATTCCATACAAATTTTGGGATTATTCATTCTAATTTTGTGAAAAATGCTATTGGTGTTTTGATAGGCATTGCACTGAATCTGTAGATTGCTTTGGATAGGATTGTCTTTAACCATTTTAAACTCTTCCAAACATATTGACTAAGTGCCTGATTTCTCTGTTATTTTCCTAATGACCAACTCATTGGAAAAAATACTTTTTTTTTTAAATCTGGGATTTAGCTTAACACAGGAACTTCTCTGCTTATTAACAATGCCTTCCTCTCAATTTAGATGAAGAAGAAGATAGTGATGAATCAAGTGAAGAAGAATCCAGCCTAGAGAGTGATGAAGATGAGTCTGGATCTGATGATGAGGTTTTTGATGATTCTATTTGCCCAACAAGTAAGTTGGAAAAAGCCATGTGTTCTCTGTGAAATGTGGAGATGGACTGACCATACCAAGGGGGTCCTTTTTTGGTTTCTCAGTTGTCTCATAATAAAATTTAAGGCAAGACTGGTTTAAGTTGTATGAAGTATAGTCAATGATTATTTATTTATTTTTTTTGGCTCTCTGGATGATTTATTTTCTTTTCCCTTAGGCAGCCATTAATGAATGACAAATAATTTGCAGATAATTTATAGTTTATTCACAGTCAAATTATGCAGAAATTTTCATTTTATAGAGAAATGATCGATTGTACTGTGTGTGTATATTTTTAATGAAGCTTTCCCATTTTGACAAACCCATTCAAATTTTCTTTTTTTACTTTTATTTTTAATTTAGTTTATTTTTAACTTATCAATATATCATGATCACCTTTATTTTTTAAGCCTATTTTTGTTTATTTTTGTTTCTTTTTAGTATATGTGCTGCCGAAGCGAGCACCTTTTGTTTCTTTTTAATATGAAATTTATTGTCAAATTGGTTTTCATACAACACCCAGTGCTCATCCCAACAGGTGCCCATTCAAATTTTCATATTTAAAATCTGCTTTGTATAAGGGTACTTTGTACCAGTTTCATGGAGACGCTTAGTTTATGTTCACTGTTTTCCCTGGTAAAAGCAGTCTGAAGCAGCTAGACCAATATTCTTACAGTCTCAATAGATGAATAGTCCAGTGCAGGAAAAACAGTTTCTTTTTGGTCTGAAATTTATCTTCCTAGCCATTTTATATAAATTTTAAAGTTTCATTTCAAATAAAGTTTAAATCTTGTTTTAATGTTGTAAACAAGAGACTTCCTAAAATCACATGCATGAGTGAAATAGAGCTCAAAAGATTAAATACAGCTTATTTTACAGCAGGATTAAATGGTCTGAAAAAAGTCTCACAGCTCGTCTATTAGTGGTGGAACTAGGGTCAGAACTAAGGTTTCTAAATTCTATTGTAATACTCTTATTTTCACATTCTTTATCTATTGCTTGGTGTATAAATGTGGCTGTGATGTGATATAGTGGAAATTAATAGAGAGATAATGTGAATCCCACTGTGTCACATATCAGTTACATGACCTCTCTGAGACTTAGGGTCCTCACCTATAAAGTAGGAACAACAGTTTCTACCTTGCAGGGGCCTATGAGTTTTGAGTGAGATAATGTGCATAAAGGGCTTAACAGAAAGCCTGGCTCATAGTACTGCTCAGAATGTCAATACTGTATCATAATTGCTATCATGATTACTTATACTATTAATAATTTCCACCTGGAACAATGGAGCCCTAAGTGTAGTCATTATTAATTCTTTATTTTTAAGTTTATTTATTTATTTGGGGGGGCACAGAAAGAGAGAGAGAGAGAGAGAGAGAGAGAGAATTCCAAGCAGGATCTACACTAACACCATGGAGCCCAAAGTGGGGCCCAATCTCATGGACCATGAGATCATGACCTGAGCCAAAAACAAGAGTCAGATGCTTAATCGACAGAGCCACCCAGGCATCCTGGTCATTATTAATTCTGAAGCTCCAAAGTCTACACTTCTAAACTTACCACATTCTATAGCAATGGGGCTTCTTTTTAATTTTGACTGTCTTTTCAGATTGTGATGTGGGTCTTTTTGAACTGGCCCTTCAACTTCGAGAGAAAAGGCTGGACATCGAGGAGTCCTTAGTTGAAGAAAAGAAAATTATCGATAACCTCAAAAAGGAATATGACACACTATCCAAAAAAGTATGGTTGTGTGCCTACTTGTTTATCCTTTCCCAACATGCTGTTTTTGTCCTTCCAGCTGCAGTACTGCCATGTCATAGCAATGACCTAAGTTAGGACTTCTCTCCAGAGAAGAAACATTTTAATTATTACATTTTAAGTGTTTCCTCTTCAAGTGTATTTGTGGTGGCAGCTGTTGCCCTTTTGAAGACTGGATTCCTTTATCTAAATCACTGACCTCTAAACTTTTTTTAATGTTTATTTATTTTGAGAGAGAGAGAGAGTGCATGTGCACATGTGTGCCTATGAGTAGGGGAGGGGCAGAGAGACAGAGGGAGAGAGAGAATCTCAAGCAGGCTCCATGGTGTCTAGGGGCTTAAGCCCACAAACCATGAGATCATGACCTGAGCTAAAAGCAAGTCAGATGCTTAACCAATGGAGCCCCCCAGGCATTCCTAAACTTTTTTTTACTACATACTTGTATATGTAAAGAAAATTGTGGAGCATGTATCCCCACAATAAATGTACATTTATTTACAAATTATATTCATGAATTACTGTACTAATATATTTTGTACATTAGATAACATTCACAAACACAGAAATGAAAAAGAATAAGATAAAAATAAATGGGAATGGAAACTGGTCTTTCTGTACCCCATTACATCACTTTGTTGACCCTCTGGGGTGCGTGCATCCCATGTTGGAGACCATGCAGCTAAACTGGTATAATTATGTTGAGGGATGGCCGCCTTATTTGCTCATTTTCCCTCTTAGATACTCTTTTCTAGAGACACATCGCTTAAATCATATTCACAAATATTTTTAATAGATTGTTTCTCCTCTTGCAAATAGGAAATGATTTGGAGGATTTTCAAGTTTTTTAAATGAAGAACATGCTTTATGAATGCTTTAGTTAGTAGTTTTGTTGCTTTAAATGGGCTTTTTTCCTTTCATATATTGAGGTCATTATGGCCAAAAGAGATTCCCACCATTTTGACAAAGACATTCCATGCCAAGTGCTGCTTTTCATGCAGCAAATAAAGGGAGATGAGGATAGGCCTTCTGAACTTTTATTCACAACACCTTTACAACCTTGGGGATATAGGAATGATTGAAAAAGTGGTGTGGATCATGACTTAGCAGAAAGAAAATAACATACATTTCTGGGCTGCAAACTGGGATCATTCATTTAATCACAGCCCAGGTCCTGCTCATCTCCCAAGATGTCCTCCTTTATCACCTGAGGTATGTGTTTGCTGGTTCTTGCCCACATTTCACACATGGGGCTTTCCACAGGTAAAAATTGTGGCAACTAATCTGAATGCAGCGGAGGAGGCCCTGGAAGCTTACCAACGAGAGAAGCAGCAGCGTCTGAATGAACTGCTCGTTGTGGTTCCCCTCAAGCTCCACCAGGTGATGGGTCTGGAGTGGATGCCCCGCCCCATCTGAGCAGAAAAGCCACCACACCCAGGCTTTTCCAGGAAAGATTCACAGATCACTAGTGGAAAGAAGTGCAGTCCTTTGCTGAGAATTCTGCCTGAATAATGACACTCTAACTTTTCTTATCCATTCTCAGATTGTTATGAAAGAGTAATAGCCAAACACAGGTATTTCCCTATGGCCCATTATGACTTCAAAAGTCCAATTAATTGTTTCAGTCTGATGAAATGAGCAGCCTATGACTCAATTTTTTTTTAATTTATCTTTTTAGTTTATTTATTTTTCTAGTAACCTCAAACCCAATGTGAGGCTTGAACTCACGACCCCAAGGTCAAGAGTCACATGCTCTTCCGAGCCAGCCAGGTGCTCCGAATAGCCAGCCAATGACTTAAGAAAGAAATGTCTTAGAAGTTGAAATCTTGGATCTTGTGTACAGGTCACTTTTCACACCATCTTTAAGTAGACAAGAACTAATGGTGCAAGAATTATCTTAACAGCTGCTTGTTAATGAGGAAGGGCAAGACAAAAGAAAAACGTCCTTTTTCTTTTTTCCCTCTTTGCCCATTTCCACACTCTATTTGAATTACAACTTACATTTAAATGCAAAGATACATATCAGAGAAAAGGCCTATCAGGTCTTTTGTCAGGTAAAGAGGGAAAGCTGTATTTTAGAAGGGAAGCCTTAGATCAGCCTCACATATATTTTGTGTAACCTGACCCAAACTGGATTAGCCATATAAAGCAATTTGTCTAATATCCCCACCCTGAAATGCTTGTTCCTTGGTTATGCAGTAGACATTAGGCATAGTCTGTGGGAAGATTTGCTGTCTCTAAAGGGACATAATGTGGCTTACTATCTGAAGGCAACTTCCTGCTTTCCTTTACTCAGTAGTGGGAATGATAGAAGTCCAAAGGCAATGACCTAAAACAAGGGACAGAGAAGGAAGTGCTTTCTGTGATCTTACATTTCATTCGGTCTTTGTTTTTGTTTTGTTTTTGTTTGTTTGATAGATAGAGCATATAGTGTTTGGAGAAATACCTAATGATCTTTCTGGAACCTTGGTCTTTTCTAACCATTCCTTGGGACGGCTGCAAGAGCGAATCAGACAGCTTCATGAGGAAAATTCCAAGCAGCAAAAACTCAACAAAGAATGCCGGGAGAGGCGTAAACAGCTTATCCGAGAAAAGAGAGAGATGGCAAAAACTATAAGCAGTGAGTAACTAAACCCATGGTTTATCTAGCACTATCTATTGATAAGAGAAGGAACTATTAAGTGACCATCTCCAACTCTGAAAACAGTAATAATCACAGAATCAGAACCACTGAGAGCAAGGAAACACCTTCTCGTCTTCCTAGCTGCCATCTCTCCTCCTATCACTGAAGCGTCCCCCTCTTGTTTTAAAAGAATGAGTCTTTTCTCATAGAAACTGTTTCTCTTAAGTTTAAAAGGTTTTTTGCATGATGAAATATAGAGTAACATGGTAACTGTGTGCTAACAACCAAGCTTAAGAAATTAAAACATGGAAGGGACAACTTAATCCCCTTCTCTTTCCGATATTATCTGCTATCCCCTTCCCCAGGGTCAACTGGCAGGTAAGTACGCATGCATATCTATGTATCCACACATAATATATGGAATCTTGTGCATGTTTATAACTGTACTATATTGTTCATATCGTTTTTCAGTTCACTTTATTAAACCAATTTTTGAGAGGTATCCATATTGTTATAGATAATTTATTCACTTTAACTGCTGCTACCATATTCCATTATAGGACTTGGAAAGAATTTATTTCTTCAATCTTCTGTCGATGGATATTTAGGGTATATCTATTTTTTGTGATTACGGAGTTAGAGTAAACCTTCTTGTACACCTCTCCCTGCCCATGTGAGAAGGTGAATCCCCAGGACCGGGGTCTCTGGTTTGTAGGGGGATTATGCATTTTCAGCTCTCCTATATATTGCCAAGTTGCCCTCTAGGGTGGTTGTACCATTTTATCTCACTCCTGCCTCTCTCCTCTTCCCCAGCACTGTGTGAGAATTGTCTAGACTCTATATTCTCAGGAACATTTGATGCTGTCAAGTGTTAATATTTTTTTGCCAGCCTTGTGGATGTTAAATTGTGTTTCACTATGGTTTTTATTCATGTTTCCTGGATTCTGGTGAGGTTGAACATCTTTGCATACATTTATTGCCATTTATTTGTGTTTCCTTTTCTGTAAATTGTCTGTTATATACTTCGCCTATTTTTTACTTCTATTTCTTGTTTTCTTATTGATTTTGGGGAGTTCTTTCTGTATTCTGTCTTTGTCCATTAAGTGCATTTCAAATTTCTTCTAGTTTGTGAGTTGATTTTTTTACTTTGTTTAGTGTATCTTTTTTGGGATATAGACATTTAAAATCTTAATATAGTTAATGTTATCAAATTTTTTTTTTTTGCATTGTGTCTATGTGTAGGTCTTAAGAAATCCTTTCCTGTTTTGTGATCATAAAGATATTTTGTCTACGGTTTCCTCTATTACTAGTGTTCTTCATATTTGCATTTTTAATCTATCTGGAGTTAAGGTGGTTACTATAAGATGTACAGTATAAAGAGTACTATCCTTTAAAAAATACTTTTTGTAGTATTTGATATATGGAACATGAGTGTAAGTTGTGAATTTTTCAACTTTAAAAATAACAATATTGCCAATACTTTACTACTTTAATGCCACAGAACTGTACAGTTGAAAATGATTAAAATGATACATTTTTCTGTTGTGTATTTTACCACATTTGAACTATATTTATATTTTTTAATTTGAAAAAGAAAAAATGGGAAGACTATGGTGGTCAACTGGTCAACCAATCCAAGTTGCTTGGATTTGTAGAGGCCAGTTTCCAATGAATGTTGATGGTTCTGCCTTCATGGGTGGCTGGATTATAAAATTTAAAAAAAAATACACATTAAGACTCCAGGTTTAAATAACACTTATTTGAGACACAGAGTTTTCTTAGGTGTAGGCCTTCTCATGTACTTCACATTCCTCTGGCTTCTGTAGCTCATGAATATTGTTTATATTTGAAAGTGCTATTCATCAAACCAAGGAATAAGCTAGTATAAAAACAAGGAAAGAAGCTTGTTTCCCTTTGGGTAACTCTCAGTTTGGGAAAATGTGTGAAGATGAAATGAGGTATTCAAATTTTCAGAATGTGAATGGAAATAAAAGGGAATAATCTGTGTGATATAAGGTTTTTCAGCAACTTTCAGTTCTTCTCTCACCCATCCCCCGGCCCATTTTCTGAAAAGCAAGTTGTGAGTCTGGTTAAAGACTGATCTGAATCTGAAAGTAGAACTAGGAATGGGTTCCTTTTCTGTAAGCCAGCAAGCAAAGGCTTAGCAGTGATGAGAAACACCACGGTTGGCTTGCTGTTGCCTTCTTTCCTCCCCAGACCCATGGACAAGAAGAGGGGAGTCTAGAACATGGTGATGGGAAGAGGTAAGTTCATTCACTCCATTCCAAGGATGACACAGCTCTAAGCCATGGGGAATTCATGTGGTAAATATTCCAGAAGGCTTTATGTCTCTAGTGAACACTAGCTGACCTGAGTAGGAGAAAGGCATAGGCTGGTTCCACAGAGAGAATGGCAAGGACCAGAGTCCGTGTCCTAGTACATGAGGCTGTCCTGAGAAAGGGCATTAGCTGAAGGGAGTCAAAGTTCTTACTGAGAGGCAAAGCAGGCAGCCACAGGCTAGCACACATGTGCAAATGTTCTAACCCTAATTTTTGTATCACGGATTATCATGATCACATTACACAAGTCACTGGGAACCCTACTCACATAGAAGTGAATAACCCCTCCCTGGATAGGGCACAATGGCAGCCGTGGTTACACCATTATATTCAGTCATAACAATGATACCAGAATACAAACTTCTGCACTGTAGCAGAATTGTATCATCTCATTATACTTTTGAGCCTTCAGACTTAGGGGACAGTCTGGTGATTGAGAAAGTCTTGTTACGAGATTTTATTTTCTGGGGGAGCTCAGACCCCACAAATGGAATTTTCTCCAGATGTTCCAGTGTTCTCATGTTGAGAAAAGGCAGTAAACAAAAGTAAAATATATTGCATGTTAGATGGAAATCATTGCTAAGAAGAGAAATTAAGAAGGAATTGAAAGCAGAGTGCTCAGGTGAGTAGGGGCCAGGAACTGCTCCCTGGAAACATGGCTTACCTGGTAAGGTGTGGTTTTCCCTGGTTAGAGGATGAAGACCTGCTCTTGGTTACCACTTCAGGACTGAGTGTATTGGAAATGAGCCTTTCACCCATCTCACAACTTGCTTTCAGAAAATGCGCTGGGGAGAGGGAGCCATGTGGTTATTTGGGAAGAGCATTTCAGTCAGTGGGAACTGAGAAGGAGTGAGCCTGGAATGTTTGAGAAGCAAACAGGAGGCCAGTGTGTCTGCAGTTAATGAGGAGAGAAGTATAGGAGGAGAGCAGGAGGTGGGGAGAGATCACAGGGGCAGGACAGACCTTGTAAGGCCTCATGAACCACTGCAGTGACTTTAATTTTTACTTGGAGTAGGATGGAACTTTTCTTCTAAGTGCCTTCTCTGTTCCTAACACTAGATGCTATAGAGATCAGTAATAAAAAAAAAATCTGAAGCATCCCTAGTCTAGTTGGGGCCCATTAACAGTCTGCGGAGGGACACCTCATAGCATGTAAGCCAGCGGGGAAAGCGGAGTCTGCTTTACACAGGATTTTCAAGTAGGTGCAAACACAGGAATGGGCATTGTAGGTGAGCAAAGGAGCAGGTAGAGTCACAGGAAAAATCAACTGGTAACATAAAATCCTTTACCATCCTCTTGCAAAAGTTGTTCTATAGAATGTTGTTGTTACTGGTATTGTTCATTTAATAACCATGGAACTACTGAACAACCTAAGACAGTGATGTCTTCTTTTAGAAATGGAAGAAATGGTCCGTCAGCTAATGATCAGCAAGTTTGGCCGTGTGATAGACCTAGAAGCCCTTCAGACACTTTCTGTGAATACAACGCTTGAAGAGCTAAAGATCAAAAAACTTCGAAAGGAGCTATCAAATGCAAAGGAAATGAAGATGTGGGAGGTAACGGATGGGAGGACAGGTGACCCAACTTGGTCGAACTTGGGTTGAGGCAAGAAATGCTGTCAGTGGTTCCCATGAAACATCTGTGCAGCCAGAGATGATTCTGTGAGCCCCACTTGGCTCCCCCATGATATTAAGCCTGTCTTGCATCCTTACCATTCATTTAGTTTAAGGGACTTGCCTATCTTGTGCTAGTGAAAACACCAGCACTGGGTTTTGGGGTCTTAAGTACATGGACATACGATGACAAAATGGCATGGATGATTACAAAGATGCCACTTTGAGGTCTACATTAATGTATAAATAAATGTTCTAGCAGTGTTAGAGATGGAACTGCTCTGCTCTGAGGGTCCCAATTATATTATTCCCTATTGCTTTTGCATGCTTTTAGTAGCTGGAAATTAGAAAACATCTCTAAGTAATAAGTTCTATAACCAGGTATGGGCTATTTAGCTGGTAGGATCTTAGAAGATGTTAATGCCTACATTGTTGCCTGAGCTATGAGATGAGGCAGTGCCCCAGTTATAGCCAGATTCAAACACAGGAGCTTTTATAAAAACTTTGCAAGTCCCCAGATCACTGTGACTTCTCCAGTTTCCAGTTTTACCTCATCTGTAGACAGGGTAGGAGAAGAGGTTCCTAGTGCTATCTTGTCTCATCTTTGCTATCCAAGATTCACCACAATGCTTTGAAGAAGCAAATTACTGGAGCGTTCATGTCAATGGGACTGGTTCCTTTCAGGGGAATGCCGGAGATAATAGGGGCAACCTAAAATAATTTTTTGAAGCAGTAAGAGAACAAAGAAAGCCATTAGGAGACCTATGGCCATTCAAGCTGGCTACCTTGAGGATCATGGGCCGAGACTGGGAAAAGAACAATATATGAGAGCTTGCTGTTTCAATTAATGTTCTTCCTTTTAAATAATGAATAGCAGCATTCAGTATGCACACTCATTTCATTCTTCAACAATAAATCGGTATCTATCTTATTTTTACCTATTTTGATCCTTGAGCATACCTACATTCTGCTTTTCCCTAATCAAATCAGAGACAAGGCAGTTGGCCCAGGTTGCATCTTAATATTGATTTCTGATTAAATTTTTCCATATGCATGTTTGTTGAATGGTTTTGATCAAATCTGGACATGCATTTTTCTAATTCATCTCTTATTCACTTAATCCATTTTGCATCTTCCTGCCCTGGCAGGAAAAGATTGCTCAAGTACGATGGGAGCTGATGATGAAGACAAAGGAACACACCAAAAAGCTTCATCAGATGAATGATTTATGTACCGAAAAGAAGAAACTTGATTCTCGATTGAATACACTACAGAACCAGCAGGTATGTTACTTCTTTTCAGACCCTTTATCAGAGTTGGGGAAACTCTATAAAGGTAACTATTCACAAGACTATCAAGTACTGGAATTTAAACAAATTTTGATCTCAAGACCACGTCCAGCCCACCTGGGTCCCGGAGGACATGAAGTTGCTGGTACCTACTATATAAGTGAGTCTGAGGGACTGGCTTTATTGTATGCCATTTGGGTGCCATGAATTTACATATGTATTAACCTATGGGGTTTGCCTTGGCCCTGGTGAGATGAGATTTAGGTACAAATGACACCAATATAATCCCTAAATTTGGTGTTAAATACCCATTTCCAATATTTATTTCATTTGATTTAAAGTGGGTATCTTTAATTGTAGGATCTCACATTACCTTATTAAAACACTTATTACTTTGTATGGCTTTCACCTTGTTCTTACATAATTCTTATTCAGCCTGACATAATACATAGTATATGGTAGATAACTCTTATTTAATACAGGTTCACCTGATTCAAGGTTCACCTAGGTGAGGTACCCTCTAGCAACCTAACACATACATGACATATTTTGATTTTTTAAATGCTTTTTATTTTTTAAAGTTTTTTATTCATTTTGAGGCGGGGAGGGGCAGAGAGAGAAAGAGAATCCCAAGCAGGCTCTGCACTGTCAGCATGGAGCCTGATGTGGGGCTGAAACTCACCAATCACGAGTCATGACCTGAGCTGAAACCAAGAGTCAGACACTTAACTGACTGAGCCACCCAGGTGACCCATAGGACATATTTTAATATATATGTCATATTCTTATAATAGCATCTGCAAAAATGCCCATTGTTTCTCTTGGTTTTCTTTGTTTTGTTTTCTTTAAGCATACTGGAAATGGTTTAAGCCAAGGGTTCTCTAAGTGTGTTCCCCTGAAGAACAGTGTAAACATCACCTGGGGAATTTGCTACAATTGCAGATTCTTGGGCCCCATCTGCAGATCTGAATCAGCAGCATTGGGGGAGGCGCCCAGTCAACTACATTAACAAGTCTTCTAGATGATTCTGATGCAGGCTAGAGTTTAAGAATCACTGGTCCAAGCACAAATCTAGAAGAAAGAATGAGTAAGAGGACTTGGGAGGCTAATAATTGGAGATTCAGTATGAGAGGATGACTGGAATCTGAGTATCAAGGGCCGTTTAGCCACGCCCTTGAGTGAAGAACAAGATAGTGTTCCAGAAGGTTAATGCCTAAACAAGACCTTCACAGAATAAGCAGTCATAAACATTTTGTTGACTTTATGTGCTTTGATAAGTCTAGACATGTTGGACAGAAAAGAGTTTGAGTAGAAGATTGGTTGAATGGGAAAGGAAATTAATAGTATATGTCTCTTTACATAGCATATACATATCTTTATATACATATTTTTACACATAGGCATACATACAGCAATAAAGTAATACATTGTACATGTAAATGTACATTCTCTTTACATAAGCTGTCTCATACTACTACTCTCAAAATATTACTTTCCTAAGCTCAGAGTAGTTAAGTAACTAGCTCAGAGCTAATGCATGGTGCTTAATTTCTTGGTTTGCTTTTTTGTTTTTGCATGGTGCTTAGTTTTTAAACCAAGGACTGTCCACCTCCAAAGTTGACTTCATTGCTATCATTCTTCCAACAATCTAGGCATGAATTGGGATATATAGATGGCAAGAACAAAAAAGTGTCAGAGGACATTTCAAAGTAAGAATAGCCATACTTTGAGTGGATACAGTGAGGAAAATGAGGGAATGTTAAGGTGACTTCAAAGTGACTAGGTGGGGTAACACCAGGAGTGATGACAGCATGAGCTGGTGCATAAGGTTAGCTACAAGTGGCCCAAAGCCCTCATGGAGAGTAGCTGAAAATAGGGGCTCTTTTCCTCACTTAACAAGAAGTTTGGAGAAGACATCTGAGGGTTTTAGGCTTAGTGGATCTGTAACACCAGGGCCAATACCTCTGATTCCTTGTGATTCTTTGAAGTTTCCTTCAAAGTCACATGATGGCTGCCTCAGCTCAAAGCTTCGTGTCCGAATGCAAATGTCAGCCTTTCGGGTCCCTTTCACTAAGAAAGCGTTTTCTGCTTATATCCATGTGGCCACCCCTAGATGGAAGAGAAACTGGGGAAGGCATATTTAGCTTTTATAGCACATAGAGTAAAGGTGGGCAGGGGAGACGAGGCAGAAGGTATTGGGTAACAGTAACCCCACTTAGCTATGAAATGAGTCTGTAGAGGTAATGGACAAAGCATGGGCTTTTGGCTTCCGGTAACCCAGTTCTCACCCTGCTTCAAATCCTTAGGAATATAGTGACAAGGCCCAGTTTAATGAATCTCTTGGTCTAGTGTCCATATCTGTGAACTGGAATAACAGCTTGTTCAGAGTTGTGAGGGGAACATGAGATAGCACATGGAAAGCACTGGGCACAGAGTGGACACTAGAGAATTGCTATCTTCCTCCCTTTAATGTGCCTTCAAAGTCTATTGAGCCCATACTTCTATAACAAACTCTGGGACGGGTGGTGGGTAGTCAGATCGAGGCCCGCCGGCCTTCTCTCTTACAGGCACAGGATCTTGCAAGACAGGCATCAAACAGGCATTTAGGTTGAACCATATGAAACCGCTACTTTTTGAATCCTAAAAAAGGAGTCTCAAATAGAAGTTTCAGAAGGTTCAATGTCATAGTCACAATGATATATAAGGGATGTTCTGAAAGAACATAGACCAAGAAGTCTTTATCTAGTCCACAGGATAAAGGCCTCCCTAAAAGTGATGTCTGAAGCATGAGCAGGAGTTGGCTGGACAAGGGGAGGAGTCAGATGAGGAAATAGAGATTTCCTTTTTGGAAACCAAAATATAGGCTGTATAAAAAAAGGAAGTGCCTTGTCTTTCATGGTTGCAGTGCTGAGCCCTCCTCAGTAGGAATGATGGATAGCTAGCTTAATGGGACTTGCATTTTAACAGTTACTCAGTAGGCCAAAGAAACACATTTCTAATGGTGGAATTTCAGTGGAGGACTTGAAGGCCCCTTAAATTAAGGAGCAATGGTGTTTAAATGGACGGTAGGGTCTGCACTACTAACATTAGGATGGGGAATTTTTCACACTCCAAATGATGCTTAAAGCAGGGAGGTGTTTTCTTTCAACAGGGCAATGCCTTCCAGGGCCCTCGGAAAGCAGACATTGTGGCGAGAAAGAAGGTCACTGAACTGATCCAAGTCCAGGCAGAAAGGATCTTGGCCTTAAAGGAAGAGATCGCTCTTTTGCGTAAGAAAGGTGGTCTTATCCTCCCACCCATTCAGCCTCCACAAGAGAAGGAGATGAAGCCCATGGGCCTTTGAGTTTGCTTTTTTCTCCAATACATCCCAGATTTCTGACATACACCTTACCAGAGAAGTTCCTTGCTGCCTGCAGCAGTCCTATTATTTTTAAGTCTTATCTAAAAGTCTAAGACCAGAGCCAGTTATATAGTATTAATAATTTTTCTCCAATTTGGTTAGCTTAGCACAGATGACCGCAGCCAACATCTTATTTCCCATGGAACTGAACCATTTTAGATCTGTTTGGAAACTACTGGATTGAATATGCAGTCTCAGAGAAGGCTGTATCTCAGCATCTGCGACATATCCTGTTTTGGGAAATTTGTTTGGTTATCTGAATTTTTAGCCATCAGCAAGGAAAAACTAGCAATTTGTGAGAAAACCTGTGTTTTTCAATCCTTGGAAAATAAACTCTGATGTTAAGTATTCTCTGAGAGGATGAAAAAAGAAAAGCACAAACTATTCTGCCAACAGTATTTTAGCATAAGAAATGCAAATTAGGATTCTGACATTGTTAACTTCACAGAGCAGTTATTTGGGAGCTCAGGATGCAGGAAATGCAGACAGAACAGATCCCTTTGGATTGGCAGGAAGCAGGAGACTGCCCAGCTTCCTGAATCACGCCTGGCGTCAGCAAACTCCTCAGCTCTGAATGGAGAAGAGTGGGTTTTGCAAAATGGTCAAGGTGGCTTTTCTCTGTAGATGTTTGCAGCTCTAACAGTATTCTAGGTATGCCCAGTAGCTTCTCATGTCCTATGCCATTTTTCTATTTCTGATGTAGATCCAGAAGTAAGGAATGATTACATAACGCTGAGAGACCATCTCTAACAATCACTTTTGATTGTGCATAATGTTCTGAACTAATTTGAGAGTGTCCTTTTCCGTTTGGGGGTAAGTGGTCATGGGAATTCATGGCTGTACCCATCTAAGAATGATGTGATATTTGGATTCCCATTAGTAAGAGCGAGAACATAGCACTTTAGATCCAGTGTTCTGTGGGTCCATGTTAATGAGCTATCCCATTGAACTGTCCCAGAATAGAAGTTGGTCACAGAGAAGGAACAGTGAGGAAGGCAGTATTGCATCCATGCAGATGCATCAGCAACATCAAATCTTCCTAACCTGCGACTAGCCTGATCTGTCTCCCAAATTAGATAGGACTCCTTTCCTTTCAAAGATTCTTTCATGTTCCTATTTAAGAGACGCGAATAGTCTGTGCTTGTTGTCTGTGGTGTAGTAGCTTATCTACTGGAGAGCACCTTCCATCATTTTCTCTGCTGTATGCCCTAAACTGTGTGTGCCTTTCAAGCGTTTAAAAAGTGCTACTCGTGAGGGTTTTACCTGTTTACTGCTGCATGAAAATTTCTCCCCCAGACATTGCTTAAAACTGCTTATCTCACCCAGTTTCTGAGGGTCAGGAATCTGGGAGCTGCTGAGCGGGCTGTTTTGGGCATGGAGTCCCTCAAGAGGTTACGGTCAAGCTGTGAGTTGGGGCCGCAGCCATCTGAAGCTTGGCTGGGGAGGCAGGGCTCCTTCCAGCCTCACTCGCTTGGCTGTCTGGCTGCGGGCTTCCGCTCCTCACCCAGCTACCACAATGAGCAACTGCCTGGATTAAGTGCTTGGTCTCCGAGGAGACGCCATGCCCTAGGTGGTAGTGAGGGCCAGGGGAAGTTACGTAATTTCCTGGGCCTCATTTTATTATCCAACAAATGAAGGATTTGGATAAGCTCTAAGTCTCTTTCCCATTCTGAAGTTCTGTGATTCTAACTGCAGCAAGAATGACTTTAGAGTCTGTGGGAGAGCCATGGCAAAGACTCCATGACTTTTTCGACTCTGTAAAACCAACCAGGATCGTTACCGTTTTTCCCAAATCAAACTGGACTAAACCATCACTAAGTCCACAATATTCAGGCTTTTATCCAGTAGGCAGTATAGTTAACACTCAGTTTTTATTTTGAATTGGACAAGACCTATAGCTAGCTTTAGTTTCATTTCTACTTGACTCCAGACTCAGTCTTGAATCTATAGTTACGTATAGCATCAGAGTCTTTGGGAAGTTCAGCTTCAGCTGTGGGCGAATAACTTTCCATTCACTCCTGCTTCCCTGATCAAACGGTTCTCTGCCTCTGCCTCTGTCTCAGAAAAGGCTGCCTTATTTCTGTGAGGCCAAAATCTGTCCACACTGAGTCACCTGTGGGTCAACTGCTAATGTAACTTGGCAATTTTGAACCCTCGTCCATTGTACCATCACAAACCAAAACTGGGAGAAAAAGCAGCTATGGAGCGCAGCCCATCCATCACAGTTACCCACTGCTGCTCAGTCTGGCTGTCTTGTCACAGAGGACGGCCATGCCTGGAGAGGCCTGTCGGCCCTGGGCGGGGCTCTGCACCCCTACCAGCGCCTGCCTTCTAGATCTTACTCCTCCTTTAGTAAATTATACAGCCTTTGTGGGCTGAATCAGACTTCTAAAAGGCACTATAATAACCTGAAGAAATAGATATTGAATTTCAGTGTATTTTATAAGCTACTTCATTTTCTAGGCTACAATTTAGAGGCCTCACAGCCTTTCCTCTTTTCCTGCAGCTGGCTGAGGTAAATACACATATTTATCTCATTTAATGTGCCTTGGAAGTGTTTTTTCTTTCCTAGGACTATTTTGGGGAGCTAAAGTCATTCAGTATTGTTATGGTTCCAGGGCTGCGTAGAAAGCAATTTTATGTATCACTTCCACAAAGTTCACCAAAATTCACTTTGACAGCTATTTGGGATCATCAAGGAGAGAAAAAAAATTAAGCCACTAAGCTAGGAGGTGAGTTACAGTCCAGATCTGAGACGCCCTGGATTAAAGATGGAGAGCACGGGCTCTGTCCCACTCTGGGAAGTGACTTCTCCGTCCTCAGTGCAAGGTTGTGGCTGAACTTACATGCTAGTTCTTCTATCATTTCCATGTTCCTTATAGGCCTTCACTTTGTTTCTTAAAATATTTTTTAAATACAGCTTTTCAGAAGATCATGTTGCAACTCGATGAGAGCTCTTTATCCTAAAATTTAGCTATTGGATGGAAAAAGCATGGAAGCTAAGAGCAGGCGCACTATTTCTTCCGGCCAGCAGAGGGTGCGCTTGTCCTAGAATCTTGTCTCTCTCTCTGGCATCTCCTAGAGCGTGGGGAGTCTGGCTCTGGGACTCTTAACCAGATTAAGTGTCTCAAGCAGCATTTCATCTGTAACTTACCTTCAATCTAAAAAATACTTTTCCCTCACGAGAACAATGGGAGTGCTAGCGCTTTCACTGCAAAGCTTCAGCCCCCATCTAGTGCCAGTTGCACGTATCAAGGTTGGTCCTAGGGTTGTACAGAAGTAAATCTTGACTCCCTGGTTGTTTAAAAATCAACTCCTCTGGCAATGTTGGTCTATTGTAGGAAAGAAGGAAAGCAGATCAGGCACCACGCGTGCATGTGCAGTCTAGCACTTAACTAAATGGTATTTTGGAGAAAGTAGTCTTCCATCCGTTATCTATAGAGAAAAGAGAAGTTTCATTCCTCCGATAAGACCAAAGCCTCCCCTCGAGTCCAGTCAGTAAGAGACTGCAAATCTGCTTCTCCTTGCCTCCTTCACACAATTTCCCTCTTGGATGAAACACTTACTGACACAGTATTTTAAAAGACAAAAAATGAAACGTCTCCTACCTCTTCCAGATCTCGGCTCTGTCTTGACAGAGCTAAAAATGTCACGAGTAGAGGTTTTCTTCAAATATTCAAAAAGCGTATCCTAATGTTTAAAGAGGATGCTGACTCATATGTCACTAAGCTGAGCGGTACAGGGAAGACTAAACATTTATTTAGAAGTTACAGTGTTTGTTTTTACAGAGATATGCTGCCACAGATTGATTCTGGAAGGTCTGTTAATGCTTGTAGGACTATACACATCTTAGTCCATTCTCATGGGCATCTTCTGAAAACATCTCCTGTAGTACCAGCTCCAGCCATCTTCACGAGTGTCTCTAGCCTGTGATAGCGGGGCCCTTGCTTTTCCTTCATCGTTGTCACGAACAGTGTGCTAAGATTCTTCCTTCCGCAAGCTTCTCTGGGGGCCTTCTGCAGCCTCCTGGGCAGTGACAGAGGCTCTCGGGAAGGGCTGCCTTCTCAGTCTATGTTACTCTTTCCTGGTTGAATCCTGTATTGGGGCTTCTTTGATTCCCTTCTCATACCTCAATGGGTAGGATTCCCTACATCTCTCCAGAAGTATAAAAACACATATACATTTATTTACAAGTGCATAAATATATAAATATGACTATTATAGAAAAATAAATACCAATTTTCTGTCTCTTTTTAAAAACAATATATAGTCTTTCTGGGCTATTGGTTTCTGCCTAAATTGTAGGAGGTGGTGTTTCAAAAGATACATGCAATGGTGGGCTGGGGGAGAGCCGTATCCCGAGCTCCTGCCCTGTGTAGGCTCCTTTGGGGTGCTGGGAACACCAATCTCCTCCACCCACTTGGCAGGAGTTAGGACTGTCCACCTCTTCAACTGGGACAAGGCCCAAGCAGCACGGGGGCCCTGAGGGGAGAGAAAAGTGGGAAACATTAAAATCCAGACTGCCCAGGAATCAGTGCTCAGTGGTACTGGGTCAGTCTCTCTCTGTGATGGGAGTTGGTTATACTAGCCCTAAGAGAAAGACACAAACAACTGTGACAGTGACATTTATGCTCCCTCTAAGGTCTCAGAGACATGGGGTGGGCCACTTGTTGCCCATGTCCCACCTACACATTTCAGTGGTGGGACCACAGAGACTCTCGACTACTTAGCCTGTAACCTGGGGTGGATGAAGTCAGCTGAGCCATGAAATGTGGGAGAGAGCCCTGTTCTTTCCAGATTCAAGTGGCTAGTCTACCTGTATGGTAGGATTTCTGGGCATAATCCCACCCCAGATGGTGTCCAGTTTTGATGATGCCGGTCTTAGAATTTTATCTCCCAGAGACGGTGTCTAGGAACTGCATGCGAATGGACCATTCCTACCATGGAAGCTAAGAAACGTTAGCCAACGGAACCAGCCTCACTGCAACCAGCATGCGCTGATTCCCAAGAGCCTGGCACGAGGGAAGATGGTAGGACAGGGGTCATGCATGGAGGCTCGTGGAGAAAAAGTTCTGTGGAAGCAGAGTTATGATGATGTGAGAACTCGGCTTCCTAATGACTGATATAATCTCATTCCTTAATTAAGAGACAAGACCCAACAGAGCAAGGTATTTGGGGTGATTAGGGAACGCCTCTTGGTGTGAGGAGAGGCAGCTGGAATTTGTGAATGGTCGTGAAACGCCAAGACGGAAAGGGCTTCTTTCTCTGAAATGGGAGCGTGTTCTCTTCTTGGCCTTTGAGGACACAAGCTTGCCAAGATGGACGTGGACCCAGCTGGTTCATCCGCATGGATCTGTGGGGCCGTGTCTCCCCCACAGAAAAACTGTGGATGACTCTACTTCAGGCCACCTCTCTAGGACACTTCTGGGTTGTGGACGCCTGCCTCCCTCAGGTCATTCCCAACCTCGTCAATTTCCAGCCCTGCCCCTGGTGCCAACCTTGGTGAAAAAGAGGGTCCCACGTTGCTTCCAGCCCAGGACCCTGGGGTACGCTCCTCATGCCTGACTGGCCTGTGGGGGCGGGCTGCTCCTGGAGGTGGTGACAGTCTTGGTGGGGCTGGAGCAGCTGGTGAGTGGAGTCATCAGGCAGTGTATATAAGAAAGAGCCATCCTCTGGGCTAGACTTGGGACCCCTGCAGGCACGAGACCAGATGGAGAGGTGAGGTGGGGGTGGAGTGGGCCTGTATTCCCAGTGCCTGGCTGCTGCCCTGTCTGAGGCTGGTCAGGGCTCAGATGGGGCAGGGACTAGTGCCCTTTGAACATGAAGATGTTGTATCACAACTTCTCTGGGTAATTCTAGTCTATTTCCATTTTATTCCATGCAAGTCCTGAGTGCATGAGAGGACATGCAGTCAGGTGTCCAGAGGCCTGGGGACAGAGCCAACTCCATGTGTGCAACTCTGGCCTGCCAAGTGAAGGACAGATTTCTGGAGGCCAACCTATGCCTCAGAGCAGAAAGGGCATTATAACTGCAAACACAACACCTTGAGAAGAGTCCAGCTGAGCAGGTTGTCAGATGTGGGTCCCCCGTCTCCTCTCAGTGACTGAGGTTGGGTTTGAGGGGAAGGCAGGGATGGGAAGGCCCAGTTACCTAGGAATCTGGTGACTGGGGGGGTCATATCCAGTGCCAAGAACGGTCTGCTTCAGCAGGCTGCTGGGGTCATCCCGCTGCTCAAAAGAAAGAGTAACGAAAAGGTCACATCACAGTCCGAGTAACTTTCCTGTTCCGTGTTCAACAGAATGAGCTGCTCCTGACTAAAGAAAGCCAGACACAGCAGCCCAGGATTAAAGGCTAGGAGGGAGGGAGCCCCAGGAAGCAGCACCCCCCCAACGCCCCCGTGTGGGCCCGCACCTGTTTGTCTGCGTTCCCAGGACTACGTTACCTGCCGAAGCGCCCCTGGGCAGTGTTGCTGAGGTTTCAGGCCTGGGTAGCCCATGGCAGCGGCAGGGCAGCCCCTGTTCACATGGATCCCATTGGCACAGGCCTGTCCACTTGTGCCACTGAGGTAGGGCTGCCCACTGGCTCGGTGGCCTGGGAGTCCTCCCAGTGGTACCATAGTGTATTGGCAGGAGGAGGACAGAAGGGCACTTCGAGGAAAACCCAGGTCTGTTGTATGTTCTGGAAGGACAGAAGGACAGAGGTATGCTTAGGCCAAGGAAGCTCAAGGCAGCCTCCAATACCATAGAAATCTCAGAAAATTTCTGACCATATAGGGATGAAAATATTTTTTCTCAGAACATATTCTTCCAGTCACCCATTTCTCCTAACATCTAGATTCTTTTCTTCATTGGGGAGAAAGGTGAGGAGATAGAGGGGCACAGGTTTGGGGAAGGAAGCAGTGAGCCAACAGAAGAAGCAATGTTTGAATGAGACAAGCTGGCCCGATGTGTTGTCATTTGAAGCAGAAATTAGCAACAGGACAATAGGGAAAGCTCAAGGCATCTACAGACCGAGAGAGGGGGCAGGGAAAGTGTGGGATGCATTTTCAACATGAGCAAGTGGTCAGAACAGCAGCTTCAGAATTTAAAAGGAGTTGAAGCCAGACAAGTACTGAGTTCCAGAAAAGAGGGGACAGACCACTTTCCACTTCCTACTTTCCATCCACCAGCGTCCATGAGCTGGGAGGAAAGGGCCCAGGCTTGATGTATTCTTATCTCTCCGAGCTCTGTGGGGGACCCAGGAGCTTATGCTCTAGTGCATGTGAAGCAGGGCATCTCCAACCTTCCCTGGGTGGAGGCCTCCTTGGCCTCTTGGGAGGCCCCCTCCTCCCCTCCTCCCCTCCCCAGGCTCCTTCCCCTTGGTGCTGAGGGGGTCACTCACTTTGCTTAGACCAGGCCCTCCACAAACAGAAGGGGATGAAGGCGACGATGATGAGGACGACAGAGCCCAGGACGACCCCAACAATCAGGTAGGGCAGGTCGCTGGAGCGTGCCACCATGGCCCCAGTGCCCACTGGCCGTTCTATGGTTTCAGGGGGTGGCAGCTGAGGTGGGGCCAGAGTCGGGGGTGGGAGCCGACCAGGATGACCAGAAGACTTCCGGGCTGTAATTGTGAACAAGACACTTCAGCATCAATTCCTTCACATTTCTCTCACAACAAACAGGAAACATCAACAGACCTGATTCAATGGGTGTGGGAAATGGGGTCAAACTCACAAGGCAGGGCCTCAAAACTCTGTATTAGATGAGTGTGGTATCCAAGCTCAGCATGAAACTGGCCTCTGATGGGAAATTTGTTACTGCAGAAGGCATCTGAACCTTCTACTTCAAAATACAACCCAAACCCTGGTCTCAGAATGGGTCTTCTGGGCAGAAAAGGTATAGGGCTTTTCTCAAAGAACAGCTGGTGAACTTTTGGAAGAAAATCTAAAAACAGGATGCATGAAACCAGCAAAAGAACTGGGAATGGAAGATCCTACCCATGGTTTTGCTATTCCTGGGCAGATTAAGGGATGCAAAGTGCCAAGTCTGAGCCTGGGCCTAGAGCAAGGAGATGGAGGGACTCTAGCACAGCCGGTAGCTAGGAAACACCAACTCAGTGACAAGATGGTGACTCCTCCTCGGCGTTGTGCTATTGTCAGGGTGTGCCTGACCTTGAGAACTCCCTTTCAGAGCTGTCTTCCCCCTGGGTTCTCCCACAGCACAGGCAGTGACTTCCCGCTACCTCTCCGAAGGCTGCTGCTTACATTTTTCTGTCTTCTTAGATCTGCGAGGGTTTCTAATCCCTTCCAGGCTCTATCCTGTATTCTGTTCTGTTCCTATGACTTCAGCCTGTGTCCCGGTGACTGCCAAATACTCCAGGGCCCTCCCCTGCTGGGAGACCTGCTTCTCTCTCAGCATCTCGGAAGAATCTGCTGCCGGAAGTCACTGAATGGTTCCACCTTGTTCCTTTCTCATGGACTCTGCTTCTCTTCTGGCTTCCCCGGTTCAATAAATGGCAATATCACCCATGTGTACATTATGCCGGACACCTCATGGTTTGCTTTGAACTCTCTTCATTCTCTCCCAGCCCTGACATGCTAGCAACCCCTGGTCCTACACACAGCCTCAAAAGAGACTAAAACTTGGGGCGGCTGGGTAGCTCAGTTAAACACCCGACTCTTGATTTCAGCTCAGCTCATGATCTCACGGTTCATGAGTTAGAGCCCTACACCAAACTCTTGGGATCCTCTGTCTCTTCTCTCTTTCTCAAGATAAATACATAAACTTAAGAGACTCAATCTCGTCCCTTCTTTCTACCTTACTTCTCAGCTCTCTCCCATCTGCCCACGCCTGCAGAAATACCTCTGAGCTTTCTCAACCTCACAGCCACAGAATTCTCAATGACCAGAGTGCCCACTGCCATCCCTGGCCATTCCCTGAGCACTCACTCTCTCTCTCTCTCTCTCTCTCTCTCGTCCTCCTTCCCACACCCTCCAACCACCTGGAGCTGTGTGCAGGCTTGCCCTGCCCCCCGCGTTACTCCCTTCTCAGTCACCTGAAGAGTCAATCCCTCCAGACCAGTGCGAAGCCTTTGTGAAGCCTCTCTTTGCCCTGGGTACTCTGTGTGAGTCCCCTGATACATGCAGAGCCAGAAGTCCTGTGTCTACCTCCTCCCTTCACTGTGCACAACAAAAGAGGTTAGGAGTGCACACAGGAGGCACTGAGTATTTGTTGAGTAACTGACTGAAAGAGCACAAAGCTAGAAAGAGAATCTTGTCCACATAAGGAAAATGGGTTCTTTTCTTCTCTCCGTTCCTATTCCTTTGTAATCTTCTCTTGATGATGTTCTTCGCAATATACTTGGGTTATACACTTGGCAGTATTTGCAAAATGGAGATGGTGGTATCTAAACACTTGACCAATGTGGAAATATTAAGCTTTTCAGTGAAGATGTTTAACATGTTTTAGTGCAGGAAAGAATCTGGGCTTATAGTTAGATAAACTTGACCCAGAGTGTACTCAATACCCCTAACTGGCTAAAGGACCTTGGTCAAGATACATCAATTCCTGATGCTCAGTTTCTTTCCTAACTCATGGGGTTGTAATTAAAATAAGTAAACCAATCAATGTAAGTACCAAATTTTATAGGAATATAGTGTTTATAGAAAGTTCTAACCTTAAGAATAGGTTCTATTCCATAAGTTCATGTATGAGTTAATTCCCAAGTTCCCTGAAGCCATCACCATGGCAACCTAATTCATACTTGAGGCACAGGCAAATAAAGGGTTAAAAATGACAAAGTTTAGGGGTATTTGGACAATAAGGAGTCTTCATGGGGAAGACATGACCAGCATGTCACATGGAGCAGTGACTTTGTCCTGGTGGGCTAAAAATAGCAGGGAGAGTAGAGAGCCTAAAGAGAATCACCTTTGGTTTCACAGATCATCACGTTGCTGAACTCACTCTCTCCTCCTTCGTTGAAGCACTGCATCTTAATGTCGTAGGAGGTCTCTGGCTGCAGGTGGCTGATGGAATGCCAGTATCTATCCCCTGGAAAAGGCAGCAAGAGAGTCAGTCACGCGTGGTGATGTGTACCACCTAGTCCACTTGGAAGCAATCGCAGTCAGGCTTGGACAGGGGTGTGTGTCTGGGCTGGTGCCATGAATGAGGTGGAGGAGAACTACTGGAATTTTTTAGGTGCCACCCAAGTTCCTGTGGTCCCATCACCAAGGGAAGGAAGCATGTGGATTTATGAACTTGATGACCCCACGCATGGCAGGAGTCAATGATATGGACCCAGATGCCCAAGTTTTAAACTTTCAGCAACACCTAGACACCCTTGCCAACAGAGAAAACCGCGTCCCCAAAGTGCTTACCTTCCACCATATCCTTCTTGTAGTCACTATCATTGTCACTGTCTGTGGGTCGATAATAGATATAAAATCCATGGATTGGGGTGTTGTTGTTACTTGCTGGAATATACTATAGGGAAGGGAGAAGAAGCAAGTTGACAGTGGAGCAGAGAAGTCCTCATGTGAGCAGGCCCACTGGTGGACAGAAATTTTACCCCAGCCTGGATTTAAAAATTCACTGCAGGAGTCTGGCAAATACTTCTGATGATACTCGCCAAGGCTTTCTGGGGAATGCTACGAAGGTCACTTGTTATTTAGCCTAAAGGTCCCCCAGCTTCTGGAGATAAGGAACAGACATTTCTCCAAAGACCTGAGCCCCCTCTGACCTGCCTGGGTACTGTAAGGATAAGTCAGTCTGGCTCAATTCCCAGGTACACGGGGGTTGGGAGGTGACCACTTACAGGAAGCCTTTGTGAAAAAATACAGGAAGGGGTCTTAGAAGAAGGGCAGTATAGAAAAGTGATTGCTTCCTGCCCCCATTGCAACAGCCAGCTCTTGTCATCATGAAGCTCAGCCCCATCTCCCCTTTGCAGTCTGTACAAGGTCACTTACCATCCACTTGAGCATGATGGTGGTCTCATTGACAGCATCCGTGAAGGTGATGTAAGGGCCTGCCACAGGCCTCTCATACACGCGGCCACTATAGCTGGACACCACATATGGCCTGGAAGGGGCACTGGGCTCGCTCTCCCCCAGCATGTTCAGAGCCCTGACACGGAACTTGTAGGAGGTGCCTGGTGAGAGCCGCTCACTTGAACCCAGGAGCTGGGAAACACTTCTGACCCACCCACCCCAGCACACCCAGGGTAGTGTCTTTTGGGTAGCTCCCAAAGGACACAAGAACTCCCATCTTTTTTGGAAAGGAGCCCCAGAGGGGATAGCTATGGACCACTATGGAAAGACAGAGAAGGAAGGACTTGTAGGATGGAGGAGACACCACCAAGAGCATCCAATGTGAGCAAGATAGCAGGTGGAGGACCAGCACAGAGTAGAGCCTCCAAAGCTCTGACCCTCCTCCGAGTGGTGGGGGACAACTAGGAGACCAGGTAGGACAGTGGCCGGACCCCTACCTTTCTCTAGACCAGTGATCTCCACCGAGAGCCGGGAAGGAGGGATGGCGCTGGTGGCCAGAATCCAGTCCCCCACTTTCTTTAGCTTCTTGTACTCTACACGGAAGGACTGGATTGGGAAGCCACCATTCCCACGGGGAATCCAGGTCACATACACAGATGTCTCAGAGGCCATGGAGATAGTGGGCCTGTCAGGGGCTTCTGGGGCTAGAGGAAACCAGACATGAGGGAGGAGGGAAGCAGGAGGAGGGACACGATAAGGTGATGTACTGTGACTGGACTCAGCCTGCTCCTGACTGGGACCTATTTCTCCTCCCAGCCCTTGCCCTCTGGTGGCTACATCAGATCTTCCAGGGCTACCTGGGTCACCCTCTCCCAGAAGTCCTTCAGCTAGAACCCCTAGAAGCCATGCTTCTGCAGTGTCAGAGTGCGGAGGACCGAAAGTCAGCTGCTCTCCATTCTGTATTCTCTGGACCCGCAGGGCCAGTGCTCCCTCCCCAAGTCAGACTACGTTTTACTTGAAAAACTCCAATCTACGTTTTCTCATGGGGTTGGCTGGGGAGATTCCAGGAAAACTGTCACAAGGCCTCCCAGACCCACAGAACAAGACCCCATTCTGCCTGCAACAAAGAACCTTGGGAGGGAGTGAACCTGTTTCCAGTTCTGACTGCTGCTCACCCCACCCCCCTGAGCCGCCAGTGGTGGTGGGGGGGAGCTTACGAGAGAGGCGGCCGTGGTCTGGCTGACTGCTGCTTTGGGGGCTGGCTCCAGGGTCGTCTCTCTGTATCTGCTGCTCCTTGCTGGCCATGATTTCAGGTTTGGGCCGCCGTCCTGGATGGAAGTAGGTGGAGACCAGCGAGTGGGAGAGTGTGGATTAGGTGTCCCTTTCCAGACAGTTCTTTCTGCCTGAGACTTTGCAGGGGGGTGGGGATCTGGCAGGGTGATACAAATAATATAGGACACCGGCTGTGTGGACTGATTCCTAGCTCTGCCTAACAATCATGGTATTGTGCCTGACCCTAGCGTGTGTGTTGGGGGGGTGGGGTGGGGAGCAGGGCAGAGAGGCCAGCTGGCGGCTCTCCTCATGAGAGCTGGGACCCTCAGCCTGGGCTCACAAACCAAGGTGAAGCAACAGTTGAAAGGAAGATAAAGTTCAAGGTGACTAGTGGGGCAAGGTGAGCAGGGCTTCTCACCTGAGCCTGGCAGGATTTGCTCAGGCCCACGACCCCCAAGCTGGGGGCAACATCTGACCCTTACCAGTTCGGAAGGTGACCATGGCTGTCTGGCCTTCCCCTGCACAGTTGTAAGCTGCCATCTCCACTTCATACAAGCTCCCAGGGTCAAGTCTGGTGAGGGTCAGGCGGTGCTGGTTGGCTGCAATGCTGGAGACAGTCCAGTTGTCAGAGGAGTTTGTGACCTGCTGGAGAAGGTAGCTGGTTTCAGCACTGGCCTCTCAGCCTGGAGCTCCCGGTGGCTATGGTTCACATAAGCAGCAGAATGGAGTCCAACAGGGCAGGAGGCAGGGAAGGAGAATGGGCTGGGTTTGTGCAGGGCTTAAGCTGGCCTGCCAGCTCTGGGACAGCGAGGTCAGCTCCCTGGTCCCTCACCTAACCGGCCCATCAAAGAACACTCGGTGGGGAGGGTCAAAAGGCCTGACATTGTTGAGTTTCTCCAAAGACCTCCTCTCTGTATTTCTGAAAACCTCCACATTTAACTTTCTTTCTCCTTGCTCTATTTAAACCAAATAAACACAGTCTCTTCATACTATGGGATGACGATAATGATGATAAAAGCCACAGTACCAATAGAGTTTTGTCTGATGAGTGTTTACTATGTACCCTATAAAGTGCTTTCATGACAACAGCCCAAGAGACAGGTGTTAGTTTTGTTCCCGCTTCACGAAAGCTAAGGCTTGGAGAGCAATTTGCCTAAAGCCACAACACTAGTGAACAGAAACTGTGACTTGACTCCAGAGAGCACATTCATAATCATATGTAACTCCTCCTAGAAAGAAAAAGAGTCTGGGAGCCAGGAAATCTTGGGTTTAAGTCCCGGTTATGTCTCTTACCAGCTGTGTAACCCTGAGCAAGTTCTCTAACCTCTCTGATCCCTAATCTTTTCATTTCTAAAATGAGGCAAATAAAAGCTCTCAGCTTATTCTGAAGATTAAACTAGATAATTTACATAGAGTGTCAAGCAGTGAACTTGGTACACAGTAGGTTCCCAGCAAATGCCTGGCCCCCTTCTCTGGACTTGCCCCACACCCTCCATTCAGTAGGTCTCTGCCATTTCAATCCTCCTTCTTCTGCTCCTGCCTTCACTCCTTTCTTAGTACTTAAAAACTGTGGATGAATTATATCTAGTATGGATCTTTAATGGCTCCACATTTCTAGCTCTTTAAAGAAAAAAAAAATACAGGAGTCCAGGCTCCCTCCCCAAAGGGCGATGCTGGGAGGCTGCTTCCTCTCACCTACCCCACCTCTCAGGACAAAAGGCTTAACTGCCAACTGTGCACATCTCCCAGTCTGCTGGAAGCCAAAGCCGTGGTTTGCTGAAGAATCAAACAGCTGGTAGAAAAAGCCCTAATCCCCAAGCAGAATATTCCAGAGTAGAACAAAACCTACTATTCAAGGGACAGGGATGGTCTGGGCTCATTTATGTCAGACTTCCAGGATTTGTTCCAAGGGGAGAAGTTTTCACAAACTGAGAATGCTCAGTAGTATTGGAAACCCAAACACAGTAGCCCAGGGTCTGCAGATGCAGGAGGAAATGGAACCGGCTTCCGGAACAAGAAAAAGTGAAAATGAGAGGAATGATTCCCAATCTCCTGCAAGAGAAGGGGTTGTACACACAGCCCAAACACTGATTTTTCACTTCAGAGTCCTTTCTTGTGGGATGATCTTTAAGACCCGTCAGTCCCTCAGGAAAGGAACTGCTTGCGAGACATCATTTCTCTTTGGTGGCATCCACCTAGCAGCCCCAGTGCCCCTCAGGCCGGAGCCTGACAGAAGCCAGAGCCGGTTGGGGCACGGTCCTCTCCCTCTCCCTGTGCCCCTTTCTCCCTTGGCCCTCCCAGCACGGGCCTCACACTTCCACTGGGCTCAGAAACAAAAATAAGAACTAGAATGGTCATTAGTCACTGTCACACACACACACACAGGGTGACGGTGGCCTCAGCCTGGCATTTCCGGATCACCATGCACCGCCTTTGCCAGCCTGCCTCTTGGTGAGGCAGGTTCATGGCCACCTATTGGCCTGAAAAATATGATTCTTGTTCTCGTTGCTGGCTCTTGTCTAGCGGGGACCAGGAGCACTTGGCCTGCCCTGATCTCTGTCTACAACTCTGAGATGGAGGTGTCCGGTTACATGGGGAAACAAGGATTAGGACCAGGGCTGCCCCATAACCTGGTCTGAACAATGAGCTTTTTGTTAAACAAGTATTCACCCCCTTTGCTGACTGTCTACGAAGAGGCCAGGGGGCCAAGGGTTAGTGAGAAACTACCCCCCGGCCCCCACCTCCTAGGCAGTTTCGCCTCAGGTGTCTTTCTGATGGCCCCGTATGTCTGTGAACTTGTCCTCACCCAAGGTCATGAAGGGAAAGAACAGAATGAGGTTGCCGACAGGGTCCAGGGCAGGGGAATGGCTACTGTGTGGCCAACACTTCGCACCACACAGGGCTGGGTGGGTTGGTTGGTTGGTTTTGGCGGGGGGAGAAGAGTTGATAAATACTTTCAGTTCCACAATCACATGTTTTCAATACTTTCTACTAAGTGCACATAGCACTTTAATAGGCAAAAATAACAATGAAGGTATAAAAAAATACAGCATTTATAATACATCATCAAATGACACTGTTAAAAATCCATTTAAGAACGATAATTTTCTACCATCTAATGGCCTCAGGGGGGAAAAAAAAAGGCACACACCTGGGATGAACAGAAATGCTCTTCAAGGACATTTTCTTAAAGGAAATCTCATGTCCTTCTCCCCAGGGGGGGGTAACATCAGGTGAGCGCTCAGCCTCGAATGAAGGGGGCAGGCTGGGGGCCCTGTCCTGCCTCACAGGGCATTGTGTCCAAGAGGATGGCCTAGCTGGCTGTCCCCACACCCTGCCAGGGCCTGAGGTTCCCTCTGCTGACAGCTCCTGAAACATCTACCCAGACAGGCTTCCTTCTGTCAAAGAGAAGTAGCTGAACAACACAATGTGCTTTCAGCTCAAACGCCTGCTTGTCAAACCTGAGCCATGGTTGAGTCCCTAAAACCGAGGGGGTATTTTATAGCCCCCAGAGAAAACACTTGTTCACAAATATTCGTTTCCCTGGCCTTAGAGCTGGCTTGCCGTGCAGAGTTCTTGCAGGGATGTACCCACAGGAGCTTACTTTGGTTAAAAAACAAAACAAAAAACAACATCAACAACAAATGACAGAGGGAAGAGCGGAGGGCAGGTGATGGTTACCAGGGAGACTGTTAACTCTCCCCAGAGAGGAGAAGCTGGTGGTGTTAGCTCCTGGGAAGCCAGTGCACAGAGAACCCGAAGGGGCACACATGACTTTTTCCTGGGCCTCTTAGGTTCCCAAATGCCTCAATCACAACCAGTTTCCTGGGAGGTGGTAGGAAAGTTCAGTGGAGGAAGGTCAAGGTCAGCGGTAGAGATTGCAGGAACTCAAGGGGAGGTGGCCAGCAGGCAGAAACCCACACCCAGCCTCATGGAGGGGAGGTCAGGCACCATACCTTGCGGTGTTTCACCACATAGTAGAGGATAGGAGCCTGGCTGCCACCCTCGTGCCGAGGCCGCCACACCAGCTCATACGAGTCAGTCTTGGAAGTCCGTGGTGAGCTGAGGATGATGGGCGCCTCAGCAGGAGCCACCTGCCCCTTCTCTCCACCGCACTGTGGGGAAGCTGGTTGCATGGACGTCAGGGGTTTGGGGAGCCCTGGGCGTCCCCTCAGCATCTGCTCAGGGCTTCCAGGTCTTGAGGGCGGCATGGGAGGTGTGGCAGTGTCCAGCTTAGCATCCCGCCATGGCCTCAGGGTCGTGCCTGGAGGACCAGGAAGGAAAGAGAAGCGGAGGAAGAGGATGTTGGTTCCCTTGGTCATGGGCTGAGTTGCTGCCTCGAGGGAGGAAGCAGAGAGAAGTCAGAGAGGAAACCCCTGGGGCGGGAGCCTGAGATGACCAGGGGCCCAGTCCACACATGGCCGGGCCCTGTGGGAGGAGACAGGACTGTACTGCTGCCCTGCCGGGAGAGAAGGGCAGGCTTGGGCCTTGTGCCCAGGCATCCCGCCACGGCTCAGGGCAGCAGGCAAGCATCTCTGCCGTCTGCTTGTTTCCCTGAGCCCACGGACTAGCCTCACCTTGCGTGAAGGTGTTCTCCTTACTCCTGAGGAACCCTGCACCCTCCTTCTCATGCCTACATTGGGGGAAGGACATGTCCCTTCACTGCGGGGTCTTAGCACCACGCACACTCTGGGCCTTTTCCTACTCCACTGCAGCCACCTGGAATGTGAGATGTGAAGTCACCTCTGAGAACTTGAGAGCCCGGGACAGGCAACCCTTCCTTTTGGAAGCATCTGCAGAATGTGCCCACGCTAGTTTCTCCTCTAGCTGACCTCTGAACCACAGACGGTTAGCATCTGATGGTGAGGATTCAGCCTTATTTGTCGTCACATTGTCCTCAAATCGTTTCCTTGGTGAGTTTTGTCTCCTTGATGAGCAAACTGGATCTTTGTTATGTCTTTCTGCACCCTACCCCCATGCCCCACCGCCCCGTCTAGTCCAAGACTGAGTATGTAAGTAACTACTCAGTCAGGGTAGGTGTCAGCTGAAATGGATCAAGCTGAAAGGGGCAGATTTGCTTTTCTTTACTCTAGAGCACTGGTTGTTAAACTGGATTCCATGGAAACCTAGCAACTCACAGATCTAAAGCATTTTTAAAAATACAATAGTAAGATCACTTCTACTAGTAAAAATGTACACCTCTGACTTTTTAACAAGTTAATGTGAACTTGCACTCATAACTAAAAGCCACTTTTATCTCATTTATAATACTGGGGTTCTAAGTTGGATTTCACTTGAGGAAAGGGTTCTGTGAATGTTCAGCTGAAATCTCCTCCAGCCTTTTGGGCGACACCTACCTGGCCTGGCGGTCCTCAGCTGGACCACAGCATGGGCACTCCCAACTTCATTCTCAGCCATGCACTGGTAGACACCTTCGTCCTCAGGACCTACGCTGACCACCCGCAGGGCCCTGCGGGACAGTCGGAGGCGCTGGCTGGAGGCCAGGGGCACAGCATTCCTCAGCCACAGCACAGATGGCGGGGGGTTCCCACGCACTTCACAGGTAAGCTTGGCGCTCTGGCCCCATGGGATGACCAGCTGGGACAGCTCCATGGTGACCTCAGGGGGCTCTGCCAGGAAACCGGAGCAGGGGTGACAAAGGGCCTGAGTCCTCCCATTTAGGGCCAGACAGGCCTGGGGGGGTGGGGAGGGACTGCAGTCAGGAATGGCTCCCTCCTTCCCTGTGACTGTTGATAGAGGGAAGGAAAGGTCCTGTGTCTCTTCTGTAAGAGTCATGCCCGGAAAGGGACTGGAGAGGGTGGTCAGGCACATACACCTAGACCCTGGGATCTAAGCACCTCCATCTCTCTCCTCCTCCATTACTCACTGGGCATGGGACCTCTCACAAGGCACATGACCCTACCCAGGGCTTAGGGTTATGAGCATCTAGAAAGGCCACACTGACCAAAGAGGAGGCCGAGGAGAAGAAAGTCTGCAACAGACACTCACCAAATACCTGGACGTTGTAGAGTATGACTGCTGCCCCAGGCTCCCCGACCCCATTGTCGGCCATGCAGCGGTAAGTCCCCGAGTCCTCCTCACTGGTGGCATCAATGAGGAGGTTGCTCAGCAGGAAGCGTGTCTTATTGTAGCCAGCGACACTGGACCCATCCTTGGCCCAGGTGACCCGCGGGGGTGGAATCCCACTGGCCACGCACTCCAGGATCAGACTCTGGCCTTTGGTGACAATGATCGTCTGGGCCTCTGGAGGGTAGATGATACGAGCAGCCTCGGCGGTGGAGCCTGGAGGGGCCAGGAAGTGAAGAGCAAAGCGTGCGACCAAGACTCAGTGCAGGGGAACCCCTCCACCCCGCCTTTGGCAGCCAGGGCCCAGGAAACAGTCCTCCGGGGATTTGGCATCAAACAGCCCTTCAGGGGCTTGAGACCTACATAAAGTGACTGAATTCCCCTGGGCTTGGTTTCCTTGTCAAAGACAAGGACCTGCCTCTGCAGAGAGCTATTGTAAGAGATGAGGTAATATATCGGAGCAGCAGCACTGACCCAACATATGCATGGAGAACTACGCATGTTGGCAAAGAAAAAGATGAGACAGAGAAGCAAAGTGCACCCCAAGTCCGAGGATGGCTAGGAGACAAGGATCCGAGGTAACCCCCACACACCACAGAGGTCTCGGTTCCCAGTGTTCCTGACAGTGCGAGCACCTCACTGAGCTGAGCAGGACCCACTGTTTAAAAAGATGCATTTCTTGCACAGTATTACAGGTCCCCAAAGCAAATCAACTACTTTGTTGGCTGCTCAGCTAAGGAAGGCGTGACCTCTTTTCAATGCTGGGGAAGAAACCGCACAGCACTCATCAGAAGGCTGGTTGCTCTCCAATGTGCCACTCTCTTCCACGTGGACTACGTGTGATTTTACTTTATGAGCTAACCAGGGGGAAAGCCAGCTTTTATAAGACCTGAGAGCTTGGGAGGCCTTCTTTAAGAAATAGAATGTAGGCGCCTGGGTGGCTCAGTCAGTTAAGTGTCTGACCTCGGCTCAGGTCATGATCTCACAGTTTGGGAGTTTGAGACCTGCTTCGGGCTCTGTGCTGACAGCTTGGAGCCTGGAACTGCTTCAGATTCTGTGTCTCCCTCTCTGCCCCTCCCCTGCTCACACTCTGTCTCTGTGTCTCTCTCAAAAATAAGTAAAAAACATAAAAAAAAAATGAAAAGAAACAGAATGCAAAATTATAGATACAAAACTCCATGAGGGAGGGAGTGCTGAAGCTTGGCTTCCTTAACTTCACAGTACATCTGCCTCTGGTGCTGACTCTAAGACCACACTCCGCATGAGATGTCCCTCCAGTGAATAAGCGGGAAGGCTGGAAAAATGCCTGGCACACAGGAGATGCTTGGCAAAGGCGAGTGTTGTTCTCATACGACTGGGGGAGTGTGTGGGCCTCCACGGACCATCCCCAGAGTGAGGTGCTGGACACACTTCAGTGAGCAGCAGTGTAGGCACAGCCTGGCCTTGTGCCAGGCAGGCCCTGTGGCCTCACATGGGCACGGGCACACCATCATCTCTCCCGTGCATGTGCCGTCAGCTGCTGAGCACCAGGCCGTCCTGCTCCAGCAGACACGCCCCAACAGATCCCTGCTATGAAAGTCCCACAATGAAGGGAAGCTCTCAATGGGCAGGGGAAAGGGACCAGCAAGCATAGCCACCCCCCAGAATGAGGCAAGGGCCTACGGGAGGCCACGAGTGGCCGGCTGGTGGGGAGAGGACCCCGGCTCCGTCTGAGTCCCGGATGCTCTGCTGGTCCAAGCCCCCCAGGTCCCACCCCCACTCACAGACCACAGACCTGGAGCACAGACTGTGCCCACCCCGGGTCACCCCCCCCCCAGCCCGACCAGCCTCTTCCATCAGCGAGACACCCCGTTGCCCCTTACGGCGCACGCGGAGCCTGTCACTGGAGCCCGAGGTTTTCACTTCTTGGGTCACCGGGTTGTAGGCAGCACACTTGTACGTTCCCTCGTCCTCCCGGCTCGCGTTCACAATCTGGAGGTTTCCTGATGGCATGATCAGGTAGTTATCTGAGAAAAGGGGACACGGGATGAGTTTGGGTCCAGAAAGCTGCAGCCGGCACCTCCCGGGGGGGCAGGCAGGGCAGGAGCCGTGAGCTGTATACCTGAATCCCCACAGGCCCACACTGAAAATGCTGTTCTCCCACCAAAACTGCAAATCAAGTGGGCCAGAAATGCTGAGGAGTAAACCTGACCAACTAGCTGACCAACTGGCTGGCTGGAGGACTCCCCTGAGTTAGCACATAGGTCTAGGGAAGAACGCTTTATACTCTCAAAGGAGCTGGAGTAGGGTGGAAACGAAGCAAGGTCTGGGGTATGCCAGACCTGGGCTTACGCGCTGGATCTGCCGTGGACTCTGTGATTCTTGGCAAGCTGACTGACCTCTCAGATACCGTTTCCTCATTTGTAGAACGGTACGACATGTGCCGCCTCAGAGCCTACTGTAAGGACTGAAGGGCCTGTGCTGCACACGCAGGTGATGAGATGATCATTCCTGCAAGCCACCAGGAAGGAGGGAAATGCATAGGACTTCCCGTGGGTCTCTGTCATGGTCACAGCTCTAAGCCACCTCACTCCTGAATTTCTGCAACCAGGGAGGAATAGTCGCACTCCCAACCACCACCTTCTCCACGCATGTCACTGAAACCCTTCCCTCTGCGTCGCGGGTCTGCTACACTTTGTCCGCTTCTGGTCCAGAGGGGCCGCGGGGGTGGGCTTCCTGTCTTTCAACAGGAGACAGATTCACGGCTTCTGGACACCCCACTGTCTGGGGATGGTGTTCAGTCGGCTTCCTGGCAGGCAAAGCACTGGCCCTCAGCTCTAAGCTTTCTGGTGGCGTGGCCTGCCCTGGTGGTCCCGGGGTGTCTGAAATCCAGGTTCACTAAGCCTGGTGCCTGCCTGTCACTGGGCCGCCCCAGGTAAGAGCAGCTTAGGCAAATGCCTGACAGAGAAAACGCCTCGACCCCTCCTATGGAACGGGCAGGCTTCCTCCAGAGGGCTATTGCCAAGTGTCCGCTGGGGACAAAGGAGAGTCTTACTCTATTCCTCGCACTCTCCAGTGATTTCTGAGCGGCAGGATCAGGGGTTTTACCCTTCCAAAAAATGGTTTTCTACATTTTCTGCAGTGAACATATATACATTCCTTATAAGAATATAGGAACATATCTTCCCTTCATAACCAGAAAAAGTTGATGAAAAGGTTTGAATTCTATAGGATATTTTAAAAGGTATACATTTTGAGCTGTGGGTTGTCACGTAGGGTCTAGCTGGCATTGAGTGAAGGGTCAGCTATGGGAAGTAGCTGACTTCATCTCGGGAGACACCCCTACTCCTCACAGGCACTCTGTGGACCCAAGCTTGGCTCCCCTGGACCAGTATGTTGTGGCCTGAGCAGGAGCTAGGTCAGCTGAGACAGCCGCATCACCGAGAAGATGGGGAGAGGGAAAAACCCAAGTCCCACTAAAGAGATTCCCCTGATGGGTGGGGGTGAGCTCCACCGCCCCCCGGGGAATGCTGCAGCTCCACCAATGGCTGGGTTCATCGGGCGACCTCTCGGTGTGTGCCTGGAGGCAAGGAACACTGTGCCGACAGTCTTGTTCAAATGGTGGAAGCTCAGCAACATCTTCCAGAGCCTCAAAGGATGAAGAGATTCCTCGTAACAGGGCAGAAGACCTCCATTTTGGAAGTCTAGCATCCTACAGGGCTAAATAGCAAGGTAGAAGACAGCTGACCGGTGTGAGGAGGGGACTGCTGGCATGTGGATGGGGGTTCGGGAGGCAGTAGTTGGAGGTGGTCAGCTTCCCTCCTGGCCTTGGCCTCTGGGCTCCTGCTTGCTCACTCACCCCGAGATGCCTCCAGCCACTCTTGCTTGACACTGTATCGGACCTGAGCTTTCGGGTGGCTCTCAGGAAGGTGGCAGGCAATGACTGCTGTGTTCCCCTCATCTACTTCAATCACATGCTGCACATCCAACTTGAAATCCTGGAGATCTGTGGAGAGAAGAAAAGGTGCCAATTGGGCATTGATGGACGACAGAAACAAAGTGACATTTCTGGGTGGGTTGATGCCTTGGTGTCTTCAGTCACAAGAAACAGCTGCAGAAGCCTCACCTGCTGGGGGCTTTCTGGGGGTGGTTTAAGTCCTTCCTCCAGCTTTCTGTTGTAAGAGTTTGAGGATGGAATGTGTGGCCTTTATCACTACATGGGAGTTTAACTTGGTATATATAAGCTGGAGGGTGGGGACATACGTACAGGATTCCATCAGGAGGTGCCTGCGATATCTCACCTCTTCCGATCTCTCACCAGCCTCTTCTGTTACAATGAGACATGGGGGCAAGTTGGCCAAGCCCATTGGCCCTACTGGACCTGGCTGGAGATGGGTTATGATCAAGGCATAAGTGCCCTGGCACAGCTCAGCGAACGGAGACTGAAGGGAATGATGAAAGAGAATTGTGATTTCTTTTTTTTCCAGTTCAGTCAAGTTCCCTGGCTTTTCTTTGTCATCCACAATAAAAGTGACAGGCCCAAGATTCTGCTTAGTTACCAACCATGGTTATAACAGGAAGGCTGATGGTACCCATGAGCTATACTCCATGTCATGGCTGATCCTTCCTCGGGGCTAGGGGTGGGGGATCTGTGGACGCTCTAAGGGCTTTCTAAGGCAAAGAGGGATCTCCCCAGTGTAGCTGACGGCAGTGGAATGTGGGAGAGCTGAGGGTCCTGATGCCAGGCTGCAGTGTCTGCAGCATGGTGGCTGTCTCTTCTGACTTGGCTTGGTGGGAAGACTGGAATCTAAACTGGGAGAGGATGGAGATCCATCTGGAACAAGAGCAGGATGTTTCCCAAACAATCTAACAGTTCACACAACAAAACTCTCTTTGTATGAGCCAAATCACCGAAGTTGCTGAACAAAACGGGATACTTGTGCCATAAGCCACATGCCAAATTTATTTTATCAGGACTGCAGCTGAATTGAAGAGAAGACATAAGATAAGAAAGATGAGACTATTTACCCAAACACTCCTTCGTAGAGCTACTTAGCCCTGGAGGCACCCTCTCTGCTGTCTACACCAAATTCTGTGAGCTCCTGAGAGCGGACACCCGCAGAGCTTTTACCGCAACTCCACTGCAAGACTCCACCTGCCTGTGTTGTTTTCCCTGGAGACCCAGAGAAGGCAAGAAGGTGACGGGAGCAGGTGGGAATCAGGTTTCTCACAGAAAAGGTAGTTAGTTACCAAAAACAAACTACTGTCACTACAGGAAAGCACAGTGATCAAGGCACGTAGTGAGGTCAGAAGGTTTCCCACCTGATGGAACTTGCCAGAAGCTCTTAGACAAGCTGTGCCAGGACAGGAAAGCCCTTTCATTTCTATGAAAAGATCACTGTCCCTCTGATTATAACACTAGGACTTTTCAGGGGCAGGGGCCAAGTCTAAACCTACGCAGGGCCTGATCTCATTAGATGCTCAGTAAATGCTGAATGACCAAATGAGGGACTATCTCAGAAACTGGGACCCTCAAATCAGGTACCAGATACCCATTTGTGTTGCCTATGAACTCAACTTTCCTAGTTGTGTTTCACCTATACTACAAGCTCAAGGACAAAGTCCTAGCACAACAAATTTTCTATAAATCTTCTCTCTACTTATGGCCAAACTTTTATCAAAGTATGGCTATTTTTAAAATAGAATGTTTCTTAAGAGGTCACTTCCGGAGTCACAGAAAAGATGTGACATAAGTCTCATGAATGTGGAGTAGGAAATACATTCTGTTCACAAGCGGGTGACAAAAGCAAAGGCAGACTGCCTGATTGATTTCTACTGCCCCCTTTTACTTTCTGGGGTAAGTAAATGCCTCAAGTGAGGCGCATGGGTCAAGGGGAGCTCTCACTCAAGGATTCCTTCCTTTGGGTGAGTGTAGAGCCTTTGGGGCTGTTAAAGAATTTTCTCATCATTATATAATTTTGTATATGTGATATCTGACTCCAGCTAAATTGGAAAGTCCTAAGGGGCAGCCTATTAATTTTGCACTCCACGCCCCAGCCCTAAGCCCCACTGCACAGTATGCAGGATACAGCAAATTCCCTACAAATCCTCGTTAAATGAATGAACAATTTGAAAGGTTGAGCCCCAGGCCCGCTTCATGGGACTGCCATCTGTATAGCTGAATGTGGCTCTGAGCCTGGAAGGGGCCAGCACTTGGCTCAATGCTCTGCCATCACCGTCTTCAAATTCTTAACGTTTGCACAAAAGACCCCACATTTTCATTTTGCATTAGACCCCCAAAATTATGTAGCCCAGTCCTGGCTGAGCTTCTCAGCCAAAACAGCGGATGTGTTTTTTTCTCAGAGAGGAAGGAGATACGGACTACGGGAAGGGGTGGATGGCCTGGGCGCAGTGTGTTCTGGCTAAATATTACTAACTGCTTTTCAAAAGCAATGCACTTAAACAATGCAAAAGCCTTAATCCTCCTCGGCACAGTGCGTGCTGTACCTGCCAAGTCAGGAGGATCTCCACAAAGAGAGCTGTGAGCGACTGTCAGCTCAGGGGCATCTGGAAAATTCTGTCATCAAAAAGTAAATCTAAAACTACTCCAAGAGATTGAGTTTTCTTCCTCCTCCTCTTCCTCCTCCTCCTCCTCTTCTTTATTTCATTCCAAGGAAATTTGCCTCAAGCAAGAATATACTTAAACAGATCATTTTTACAAGAAAGGAGTTTGGCACCAGAATGCCATCTCCACGTTAATGGCCCAGGCTCTTGCCATTGTAACTGAGATTTTATCCAGGCACAGCTCACGTCCTCCTCCGTGCACCCACCTCACTGACCCAATACTAGAAAACATACGCACCCCCACCCCCTCCCTCAGTCCCTCTTGGCTCCTTCTGCACCCTGTGACAATTGCTAAGTCGGAGACAGAAGGTTGTGCGGTGGGGAAGGCGCAAAGCTGGGCACCGGTCAGCCATGTGGCTAGACAGCCCTCTGTTCCGATGCCAACATGTGCACAACAGCTCATGTGGGCAGGACTGAGGACACCCCAGCTGGGCATCCAGCTCCCCCACAAGGGCCTACTGGCAGACCAGTCTTCCTGGCTTCAAAAGAAATAAGGAGTAGTTAGGTCCTTGGCCCTGTCCCCTCCTTGTTCCTCCCAAGCTTAAGCCTTAGCTGCTGCTTCACTAGACAAACACATCCAATTTGGCTGCTGGAGTAAAATTGAGTTTCACTAAGGGATCAAAGGCAGAGTAACAAAGTGATGATGGATGTGAAAATCAGAGCACCCTTCTCTAGTGTTTTTAGGCAGGAAGGAGACTGGGGGTAGGGGCGGGGGTGGTGTGGAGACATCATGATCAGTAATGGCCTAAGCAGCCACCAGATGAGGCAGATGCAGAGATCTGGTTGGCTGCAAGTGAAGGAAACCAGTCTGTTCCCAGGCTCCTTTGTCTGCAAAGCCGGTTTCCTGGCCAGTCCCTGGGGCTGCTCAGGGCACCTCACTGGGACTGGGGGGGGGGGGGGGGGGGGGGCAGGCCCTTGAGTTTCAAATGGGGTTAACAGGCCTCACTGCAGAATGATGGATCGGGTTTCATGGGGAAATGGTTTGACAGGACACCTGCCCTTGCCTGTTGACTGGTGTGTTTGAGAAATCCATTAGAGGAATGTTTTCGCAGCTTTAATCCTCTTACCTTCCCCCAGACCCCTCTTGTGCATCCTCTTTGTGTATTCTTTCGGCTATTTTATTAACTTGTCTGCACTAATCAAATGCCAATAAACCCAACTCTTGTTCCTCAGCTCTCAACAGAAGCCCTGGTCTTTAGGGCCATCTCTGGATTTATAGAATTTCCTTCTCAAAGGATTTTGTGCTTTCTAAGAAAGCCCAAAATAGTTTAGGCTCCATACAGAACCCTGCCTAGTTCCCTCTTTTCTAAGCCCTCAGTTTCTTAATGGAAGATGTATCTTCTGATACATTACTTCCAGAGGGCTCTTAGGTACACAGATTACAGGGCTTTGTTCAGACATAAGTCATGTGATAGGCTCGGTGTTTCCTCTTCACATTTACAGGGTATATCAGGCACTTACCTTCTGAGCTAAGGGAAAATGGGGAGGAAAACAAGAACTTTTAGAAACCTATCTATCTACAAATAGACAGGTTTTATGTTAAGTCCATTTGAATTTATCACCTTCTAGCTTGGATCCTTCCTTTGGCTCAGCAGAACTATGAATTAAATTACAATATTTGGGTTATGTTCATGAATTCCCATGACACAAAATTGTCAAATCTTAATTGTAGGCTCATCCTCCCAATTTTTATACAGTTTACACATCCAGTTAGAGGGTGCATTGCATCACAGCAGAATGCCTCTGGTGTAATCCGTAAGGATCTTCAAGGCATTTCCTCATCTGGGCCTCCTCTCCCTGAGATCTCTCTTAGGCTGCAAGTCACAGTTAAGAAGTCAGGCAAGACAGCGCCTTTGTCTGGAAGTCACAGGGGGTCACCGACATCCCCATCTCCGTGAACTCTGTGGAATATTTATTTTAAAAAGTCATCTTCTACCCATCCAGGCATTCTTATGTAGAGTCAGTCCTGTCCTTTCCCCCTGCATAGGGACAAGCATGTACTTGACTGCTCAGGTTTGGACGGGACCCACCAGATTGTGGGGGTGTCATATTGGGCTCGCTTGGCAATGCTGCCAGGACAGCTTAGTAGCCTCTTGGCCAGTGGCAAGTTTCCGGGCTGATGATTCTGCTGCCTAACTCTTGTGGCCTCCAGGCCTCAACTGGCCCTGCGGTGGCTTGTTGTGCCTATGGCTGATGTTACGAAGCATAGAAAGATTTTGCCCTAATATCGCACCCCTCATGCTGACCCGGTGGCCCTTCTCTGCATCTCGATTGGTTTTTGAAAGATGGCAAAGTTTCAAAGGAAGTAAAACGAAGAGCTTTCTCCGGCAGAACCCATGGCTCACCTCTCTGCAGGATGGACTTGGGGGTAGAGTTTGAGAA